TAGGTCTAGGTATCCACTCGGAATCAAAAGAGAGAAGATCTGAGGTATGGGTCTACACGGATGCCGTGTTTATGGCTAAGAGGTTGGCTGGCTGATTAGGGACTTGAATACAATAAGATTTGAAGATCTGTGACAAGGAGGTCTGAAATGGATCACTTGGAATGAACAGAGTGTGAAGATCATCATGGTTTCCTTAGCAAATAACCATCGGAAGACATAGACTATGGAGAAGGCTGTTGATAATCAGGTGAAATGACCTTTTCTATAGACACCAGTCATCCTCTTTCCTCAGTAACCCTCGTGCTTTTTTAATGGGTCCGTGTGGTAATGGATGTGGTGTCAAGGATTAAAGCTTAACAACATGGACTTTTCTTCCCAAGCATGACTTGCTTACAGTCACCAGATACCAACTTGCCAACAGCAGACGACAATGTTGAGCCTTCCCTATGGCACACCAGCAACCTGGTGACAGATTTGTTCTCAGTGAAAAGGGGCGGTGGTTTATATTCTGTATGTGGATTTACCTTTCCTGTCCATAATGTTTCTGGCAGCATTCACTCACCATTAGTGAACTTACAGACTGCTTTATTCATTCCCAAGTCTTCTGGAACCTTCTCACTATAATACCTCAAAATCTCTGAAGGAATGTTTGCTTCCCATCCTTCAACTGATGAGTTTTCAAGCCCTGTCTAAGGGAATAATGCTTTCACCACAGGTATAGAAGATTGAATTGGAGGCCGAAACCACCAGGTAACCACACCGGGTTCCTCATGTCACTGAATCAATAGATATGGATGTCACCATATTGGCCACAGTGATTGGCCCCAGTTACCAGAGGGAAGTTAGTTGCTGTTACAAAAATGAAAGCAAAGAAGATTGTTACTAAAACCAATGGGATTCACTTTCGCACTTTATATTCTCTTTTCCAATAGTCCTGTGTTAATAGAAAACTGTAGAAACCAAATAAAAGCAGAAACATCAAGACTTAGATCTTGCAGAAATAAAAACTTGCCTTGACCCACCAGTTCAAAAATCTCATCCAGTCAAGTTGCTGATCAAAGTAACAAGACCATAAACTTGTTGGAGGAATCGGAAGTTAACGATGATAAATTTAGGCCTTAGGACCAGCTACTGAAGCAGGGGTTGTAAAAGCTGTGTGCAAAGTAAGTTGGCTTGGAAGTTTCCATTTTTAAAATCCCATTTCTCTTCCTAGCTACTTAATATAGGGAGTGCTGGCGTTAAATAACGTTTTAGGTTTCATACGAGAGTGTGTCTGAATTAAGGGATGTGTGTCACTTGTGATAAGGGTAGAGGTTTCATCCAAATAAAGGACAAGGGTGAAAGCTAAGCTTAAGCTAGATGTTCCCCATTTCCCATCCATATTCATGCTCCATCTTTCCATCTTTCTTCACCCTACTCTCTGACCCTAGGGTGACGCCTGTGGACTGTGCCAACCACAGGTTCTTGCGTACTGGCTTCTGGTTGAATTCAGCCAATAGTAGGTATTGGCAGGAGATCAGAGAGTAAAATGAGAAAGAGGTCAAGGTACATATTTCCCTGGCTCCTTCCAAGACCCCTGTGAGTTGACAAAGATTTATATTCCTTTGCCTGTCCATACCTTTATAAATAGTTCCCTCATTAAATGCTTCTCATTTACTCTGATTGAGTGAGCCATCTGTTTCTGGCCAAGTTCAAGATTGACACTTGGGTTTAACAGAAGATTTTACACAACTGAAGAGAAAACTAGCAAACTGGAATACAGTTTAAGATAAAATATCTAGAATGAGATATGCTGAGACAAAAGAATGGAAAATGCAAAAGAGAAGGTAGAACCATAGAGGAGACTATGAGAAAGTCTAACACATATTTAGTGGATAGCCATTATCACCCCCAGAACCTAGATTGTTGTCTCTAAAATTAGTCGTTAATAAAAGCTAACAAATGTCTTTGGAGAAAGGGCTGCTTCCATGTCTGGGACAGGAAATAAAAAAGATAAACCTAGTACATCTTGGAGTGGCAGAAAACAAGGAAGATTTCAATAATTAATGAGATGTTTCAAAAGGACATCAGAGGCAATACAAGGACAATTAAAAGAGCTTTCTCTGGTTTAATCTGAGACAATTTAAATATCAAAAGGAATAATTACTGTGATTGAAACACATGGAATATATTAAAATCCATACTTCCATAGTAATACTCAAAAAAACAAAAATCCTTTAAAAATGTGTCTGCCAACTGGACACAGTGGCTTGCCTCTGTAATCCCAGCACTTTCAGAGGCCAAAGCAGGAGGATCACTTGAGACCAGGAGTTCAAGACCAGCCTGGGCAAATGTAGTGATACCCCTGTCTCCAATGTTTTGAATTCTTTTTTCTTTTTTAAACAGAATCTCACTCTGTCCCCGAGGCTGGAGTGCAGTAGTGCGATTATTGCTCACTGCAGCCTTGACCTCCCTGGACTCAAGGCATCCTCCTATCTCAGCCTCTTGAGTAGCTGGGACTATAGGTATGTGCCGCCACACACAGCTAATTTTTGTATTTTTTATAGAGACAAGGTTTCATCATGTTGCTTTGGCTGGTCTCGATCTCCTGGGCTCAAGTGATTCTTCTGCCTCAGCCTTCCAAAGTGCTGGGATTATAGGCATGAGCCATTGTACCTGGCCTCTACAAAAAAAAAAAAAAATTAGCCAAGCACAGTGGCTCATAGTGGTAGCTACTCAGGAGGCTGGGGCAGAAGGATTGCTTCAGCCCAGGAGTTCAAAGCTGCAATGAACTATGATCTTGCCACTGCACTCCAGCCTGATGACAAAGGGAGACCCTGACTCTAAATAAATAAATAAATAAATGTTTTAAAATGTATTACTCACTATAGTGACTAATTTAATACATTTTAAAGTATACCTTTAAAATGTAGTTAGAGGTAACTACTCTACACCGACTTATTATTTTGCAAATGGGTAAAGAAAAAAAACTAAGAATGTATGCTACCTTTCCAGTTGGAATTGTCTTTTAGTGTAAACTAAACCCAGGTGATGAGAGAAAGCCCTTCTCTACAAAATAAAATGAGCTGATAAATGTAAATGGAATGAAAGAATTATAAAAATAACCATTGTGTAACCTCTAATGAAATCATTTAGTCAAGGATCAATCACCAATGAATAGTAAAACCATTAGGTGAAAAGTTGATGAGGAACTAGATAGTCTCACAGAGCCAAAGTATCATCCAAGGATTACATGCTGGTCACATTAGAAAAACACACCTTTATATACAGAGATCTGGCTGTCTCTACCTTAAACCAGTGATCAATTTTAACATCACTAATGGAACAGTCAGACATCATGTACTTCCTGAAATGATGCAATGAGAGACACTTTGCTTTAGAAATTCTTTAATTTGACCCAATCAAGACTTCATATATAACTTCTCTTTTATAGGAAATACAGGTGATATACAGGTTGTACACTGGAGAAATACAGAGAAATGCAACATGAAGAAACAATCAGATAAACTCAGAAGAAGGGCTCTAAAGAAAAATTGACCCGGTCTCTCAACATGACAATGTCAAAATGAGTGACAGGAGACAGGAGACGGTGTCTATTCCAATTTACGGAGAATTAAGAAACATAACAAAGGCAATGGTTGTCCTTAACTGACTGCTATTTTAAAGAAAACACCTGAAAAGAAAAGGCATTTTGGGGGAAATAACCTGGGACTTGAATATGAACTGAGCATTAAAATGATATTAGGGAATTATTGTAAATTTTGTTAGGTGTCATAATGGCACTTAGGTTATGGAGGAAAACGTCCTTACATCTTGGAGATGTATAATGAAACCTTTAGAAGGGAAATGTCATGATGTCTATCATTCATGTTCAAATACTAAAAAGAAGCAAATGTGGTAAAACATCAGTAACAATTAAGTATAGATGAGTATGTAAATATTCATTATGCACTTCTGTCCTTTTTTTATTTTATTTTACTGGAAAGGGAGAGAGTAAGGAGATCAAATTTGAACTTAAGAAGCTCACTCCCCCACTTATTGAGTGACAAGAGTGGAAGCAAAAGACCAGTTAGCTGATTGTTGCAGTGATTGTGATGAAGAAGCACAGTGTTTTAGTTCAGGTAGTGAGGACGGGCAGAAGTGGACTGATGGAAGATGTATTTTGCAGGCAGAAACCGTAATATGATGGACAGGCTCAAGGTGGCCCAGGAAGAAAGGAGAGTCAAAGCTAATAAGGAGGCCAGGCATGGTGGTTCACGCCTGTAATCCCAGCACTTTAGAAGCCTGAGGCAGTTGGATCGCCTGAGGTCAGGAGTTCAAGACCAGCCTGGCCATCATGGTGAAAGCCCGTCTCTACTAAAAATACAAAAATTAGCTGGGCAAGGTGCCGTATGCCTGTAATCCCAGCTACTAGGGAGGCTGAGGCAGAAGAATGGCTTGAACCCAGGAGGCAGAGGTTGTAGTGAGCCAAGGTCATGCCACTGCACTCCACCCTGGGAGACAGAGCAAGACTCCATCCAAAGTAAGTAAGTAAATAAATAAATAAATACTAATGACAAAAGCTAATATGTATACAGCATGTAGTATGCACCAGTCCAGGCACGTAACTGACAAAATCTTCACAACCATCCTGTGAGGCAGGTACTATTGGCACTGTCTGAGGCAGGCACCTCCCCTTTGCAGATCAGGAAACTTGGAGGCAGACAAGTTAAACAACCTGCCCAAGACCATACCCTTAGTAGGTGCCCTGCTAGAACTGGAATCCAGGCACAAACGTCTGTCCATTTCTTCTTAAGGAAGACACTAGTACCATCAATGACAATGAGTAAGAGTACTTATTCTACCCACTTTCTGCTTCTCCTCTTCGGGTTTATCATTCTGGACTCACCTCCCTTTCCTGGCCCCCACCCAACTCGAGCATTTTCGCCCACGTAGAGGTCGTGGTCCTAGAAGAGGGCTACAGGTCAAAAAGGGGTGGGGCCGAGTGGGAATTCTAGCGAGGAGCCTAGTATTTGACGGAGGAGGGATGGGCTGGGTAGGTCCCCCGCTCCGACAGGGCTCTTACGCCATATGTGACGCAAATTAGCTTACGAGCCGGGGGTGGAGGTGTCGTCAGCATCCGCCTGCGTTTGGCAGAGTTGCAGCAAGGGGGGCATGTAGACCCCGCCTCATAGCGGGGTGGGTAGCGGCAGGCTCCGCCTCGGCCCCTCCTTCAGGCTCCCGCCAGCGTCGCTGCGGCTCCGGCCCGGGAGCGAGCGCCCGGAGCTCGGAAGGATGCGGCGCCCGCGGCGGCCTGGGGGTCTCGGGGGATCCGGTGGTCTCCGGCTGCTCCTCTGCCTCCTGCTCCTGAGCAGCCGCCCGGGGGGCTGCAGCGCCATTAGTGCCCACGGTCAGGAGGAAACTTGGGCTGGCTGGTGGGGGTGGGGGTGGGGTGGGCAGCTTGGGGCCAGGAGCGAAACTGGGTGGTGGTGGGGGTGAAGTGTCAGAAAGCTTAGGGAGAATATGGGTTGGGGGAGTCAGGCGACAGAGGAGGGTGAGAGGGCGTCTGGGAGGAAAGGGGCGTAGGCCTGGAGGTGGGGCTGGGAATACGGGGGCGGGACCTAAGAGAATTGGGCTCCGGGGAAGACTGCAGGTTCGGGAGGACACGGGGTGCTTGTGGACAGAGGGACTTAGAGACCGACTGCGAGACCCCAGGAGAAGCCAGTTGCGCCGAGGCGCCAGGGGAGTAGTGACAGGCACTGAATGGGAGGGGGCGGGGATGTGGCGGAGAGGGTGAGGAAACGGCGATCCCTGGGCAGTGGAAGCCTGGGCCGCAGGCATAAGGTCCTAGCTGGGCCGAGAGAGAGGCCAGGGTTTCTCCGTAAGCCTAGAGAGGCCGATTGCAGCGATGTGATCTCCCGTAACAGGGAACAGCACGGGGAGGGGGCAGAAGAGGATAAAGAGGGGAGGGTCCTCTCCTGTCCCCCTCCCCACAGCCGGGCCTGGTGCTGACTCACATCTGTGCGGACAGAGACAGTCAGCGCTGACTCACGGGCGGAGGGTGGGGGTAGGAGGGTGGTGCGTGGGGGAAGGGGCGCAGCCTCGCCGCCTGGCGCCCTCTTTCCCCAGCCGGGCTTGGAGGCCCGAGAGACAGAGTACTTCCTGTGACGCTGTGGGTTGGCAGAATAGAACGGAGGGCTCAGGTCTTGCGGAGAGTCCTCGTTCTGTGACCCCTTCCTCTCTGGTAACCGCCTCCAGGCGAGCCCCTGGCGGCGCCAGACTCAGAACTTCAGCACCGCGGACAGCGCCAGCGGCCCGGGACAGCGCCGGGAGAGCTGCCTTAGAGACCCCCTCCCATACCCGCTTTCCCCCGACCGGGCGAAGTGTGCTAGGGTTTCCACCTCTTCTGGGTTCCAGGCTATTATAGGATGCTTTTGGATATTTGGGGATGAAATTCCCCTTTCTCTCAAAATTTGGCCAAAATTTCTCCTACAGTAATTCTATGAGGACAGACAAGTATGTTATTCTCCACCACTTCTTTCTCCCTGCACCTGGAAGGTTTCTTCCCTATCACTCAGTTAAGTAAACAGACGCTTTTAAGGATCCAGACTCACAAATTCTTCAAATCCAAAACTAGATCCCATGCTTCCTTTTAAGAATTTTAGGCCTGATTTTTACTCTCCTCCCAGCTTAAGGCCTTCTTTAGAATGAAAGAATAAACTGCATCTGCTTCCCCCTTTCCCAGCCTGTCCACCCATCTGCCCATTCTCTGTGTGTGGGTGTCTGAGCCTCTGCTCACCTGTTCCTCTACAGGCTGTCTATTTGACCACAGGCTCTGCTCTCACCTCGAAGTCTGTATTCAGGGTGAGTGAGGCCCAAGTGTAGAACTGACAAGATGGGGGGAAGATGGGCAATAAAAAGCAGGAAAGGGAGAGAAGGCCAGAAAGGAAGAGGGCTACTGGGCTTGAGAAGAAGGAGGACTTGCCTGGAGGAGGAGAGGTAGGGGAGGAGGTGAAGAGAATACTGTTCATTTGCAACCTGGACTTCAAAAGGCCTCTTGTTCAAGCCTCCTGCTGACACCACTTTTGTGCCCTTAGATGGCTTGTTTGGACAGTGCCAGGTGGGAGTGGGGCAGGCCCGGCCCCTTTTGCAAGTCACTTCCCCAGTTCTCCAACGCTTACAAAGTGTGCTCCGACAACTCATGTCCCAAGGTGAGGTCTGGGTGTGTTGGAGGAGAGAGATTGGAACTTGGTTAGTTATGGGTGGGGAAGAGCATTTCTCTTCAAGGAACATTTTTAACACACCCACTGCTGGAGCCTCATCTTCCCAGATCTTGCTGGAGTGAGAAGTGGAACCCTAGAGATCAGCTATTCACATTTAGACTCTCTGGAGAAGCCCAGAGGAGGCTTCTAGAAGAAGCCAGTGGAAGGCCAGCTTCCTTAGGACCAGTTCCTCTCCCTGGCACTGAGTGCTACAGAGACAAGAACACTGTATTCCTCAGCCAGGATAATATTCCACTCACCCAATTCCTCATTCAACAAGTATTTATTGAGTACTAACTATGTAGCAGGCATAATTTTAGGTATTTGGCATGTATCAGGGAATAAAACAAAGATCTCTGCTTGCTAGAGTTATATTTGGGGGATAAGGGGAGGAAACACACTATAAAAGGTAGAAAATATATAGTGTCTTAGAAGATGATAAATGGCATGGAATATTACAGCATGATAAAGGGATCAAAATGGTGAGGTAGAAAGCTACAGTGTTAAGTCAGGTGGTCAGGTGGAACTTATTGAGACTGAAATTTGAACAGACTTTTTAAGGAGGTGGGGGAGTTTGTCAGGTTATCTAGGGGAAGAGTATTTCAGGCAGACCAAACAGCTAGGGCAAAAGCACAAGTCTGAAGAACACATAGAGGCCAGGAGACTGAAGAGGATTATGGAGAAGAGCAGAAAGTGCAGTCAGGTAGGTGAAGGGTAGGGGAATGTGTGGACATTGGCTTTACTCTGAGTAAAGAAGGAAACCATTACAAGATTTTGAGCATAGGTGCACATGATCTGACTTACCCTTTACAAGCATCACTTTTGCTGCTGTAATGAGAATAGAATATATGGAGTCAAGAGTTGATGAGGAAGACCATTCAAAACTACCACAATAAGGTGCTCTGTCTATGGAGTAGCCATTCTTCACTTCTCTAATAAACTTCCTTTCACTTTACTAAAACAAACAAACAAAAACTACCACAAGAACTCAGATAAGAGGTGAATATGGATTGGGCCAGGGTGATTGCAGGGAAGGAATGAAAAATGACAGAATTCTGCATTTATTTTTAAGGTAGTCAGCATTATTTCATGAAATATTGGATATGGTAATAAAGAGAGGAGTCAAAGGTGTTTTTATTGGATTTTGCTGTTGTCGTTGTTTGAGATGGAGTCTCGCTGTGTCGCCCAGGCTGGAGCACAGTGATGCAATCTCATCTGCCTCCCTGGCTCAAGTGATTCTCCTGCCTCAGCCTCCCAAGTAGCTGACATTACAGGCATGTTCCACCACTCCTGGATAATTTTTGTATTTTTAGTAGAGACAAGGTTTCACCATGTTGTCCAGGCTGGTCTTGAGCTCCTGACCTCAAGTAATCAATCCACCTTGGCCTCCCAAAGTGCTGGGATTACAGGCATGAGCCACTTCGCCTGGCCAGGAGTCAAAGGCTTTATTTACTGAATAACTGAATCAGGGGAGATGTCACTAATTATAATGTGGAAACTTGCAAATGGATCAACTTGGTAGAGGTGTTCAGCTTTGAATACGCTGAGTTTAAGATGTCTAATCAAGTGAAGTGGCAAGTTGAATATATAAGACTGGATTCTGAGAGAGAGGGATCTCAAGTAGAGTTACAAATTTGAAATTCCTTGGCATATAAATGTTGATTAAACCCACGAGGTAGATGAGATAACTAAAGGATTGAGTGTCTATGAAGAAGAAGACCAAAGATTAAGTCCTAGATAATTCTATTAAGAGGACCAGGAAAAAGAGGGGAACCATCAATCTCCTCTCAGGGAGACTGAGGAGGGGAAGCCAGTGGAGTAGAATTAAAAACAACAGTGTTCAGTGTCCTAGAAGCCAAAATAAAGTGTATCAAGGAGGAGGAGTGACCAAGTGTCAAATGATGATTACGGGAAAAGTAAAATTAGATATGAGAATTGACCACCAGATTTGGACATGCAGAAATCACTTGCGATCTTGACGAGAGCAGCTCTGGTAGAATAGTTAGGAATAAAACCCTGAATAGGGTGGATTAAGAGGGAACAGAAAGAAAGGAATTGGATACACCCAGTGTAGGGAAATTTTTCTAGAAGTCTTGCTGCAAAGAAATGGAGTGATCGCTATCGAGGAATGTGGGATCAAGCAGTATTTTTCTTAAGATGGAAGAAAGTGCATATTATCTGCATGGGAATGATGTGAATAATTCAGCATAATTCAGCAGAGAACAAAGAAAATTATGTAGGAAAGAGGAGAGAATTGCGAGAATATTCCTGAGTAGGTGAGAGCGGATGAAATCTAGTGCTCAAACAGAGGAACTGGCTTTAAATAGGAACACAAACAGCTCATCTAATGTTAAGAAGCAAGGAGGCAGATGTGGATGTTGGTAGATGCCAGAATACAAGTTAAGAACAGCATAGATTATAAATCCAAAAACAGAGAAGAAAGGATGAGGGTGGAAAGTGGGAAATTATTCCTTTAGAACAAGTGACTAACCTATCCTAACAGCAGAGTTTTTTGGGGAAAAGAGTCAAATAGGAGAGTTGTCTCTGAATAAGATGATGATACTGACGACTATGATGATGATGACAATGAGAATGATTATACGTGTTTAAAACATGTGGATTGTGCTTTAGAGTTTTCTAGACACTTTGATTTCCCTGATCACACTTGATTATTCACAACAGCTCCCTGAAATATGTATTGTTTCCACTTTATAAACAGAGGAAGTTGAGATTCAGTGTCAACATAAAGAACAATAATAATAATAATTGTAGTAATGGCATTTGTTAAAAGTTCATGACATGACAGGCACTATTCTAACCATTTGATGTGTATATATGTTATTTTAATTATAATAATCCTAGGATATTTTATAGCCGAGGAAATTGAAGCTTGGAGAGGTTCAGCACCTTGCCCAAGGTTACACAATTCATCAGTAGCAGAGGCAGAATTCAAACTCAGGCAGTCTGGCTCCAATAGCTGTACCTGAGGGTGGGAAGAGGACAGCTCAGATCACCCACTGGGTTTGTCTCTCTACTCTGACAAACCCCACAAGCTGCAGGGCAGAGGGTACAGTTCTGATCCCCAGTGGGCCCCATTACTGGATCCTCAGACTCCCGAACCAACTTACCCTATCCCTTTTCCTGACAGGATTGTCCTGGCATGATGACCTCACCCAGTATGTGATCTCCCAGGAGATGGAACGTATCCCCAGGCTTCGACTCCCAGAACCCCGTCCAAGGGACAGGTAGGCAGCCTTTCTTGACAACTCTAGCAATGGTGAGGCTGATGAACCTCTGGTCATCCTAATAGATGGAGGGAAGGGGAAGAAAGTGGGCACCAAGGCCAGCATGCTGGGGCACAGGCAAACAGATGCAGGAATGCTCACTCTCTGACATGCTCCCATGGCCAACAGGAGCTTAGCTCATCTCTAGGGATCCAGAAAAACAGGGGCATGTTTTCAATGTTTTGAAAAACCTTGACATTGGATACTTTTTAAAAAGCATCAATGTAGTCATCAAGGGAGAGATTAGAATTGCGTTGGACTGAAGTTGGTCAATATTCAGTTTCATTACTATATGAATTTCTGTATGGCAGGAGGCACCATCATCTTTTTGTGGTTAGGACCTCAAAAAGACTCTGCAAAGCAGAGGAAAAATAAATGAGGTTTATGGAGCTCAGATGATGATACCAGGATGAAGACAGCATAGTGGCGGGGGACGGGGGGTGGAGGAGCAATCCTGAATATTTGGACATACACTTGGAGGGCCAGGTGTGGGGACATGGCACACAGGGGCAACGGGGACAGCTGCAGCCACGGTTCATCTAGAGAAGTTCCTGGCTGCCTTCCCCTGCTCCTGTGTGTCCCTTCTCCATCCCCAGCCTCATGATTCACCAGCCTTTGCAGCTGTTCCAGAGATCCAGCCATGCTCACCAGAGAAGCAGATACCTCTGCTCTCCGCTTGGCCGTCTGGTCCCTCCCCATGCCCACCCAGCCCATCTCTCTTCCCCTGAGGTCACTCAGTCTCTTAAGAGGTCAGGCCTGCTCTTAACCACTGAGGTTGCCTGGCCCCATCTAGTTCTGCCTTATAGGCTCTTAGGCTCTCTATACCCTTCCCCCTGCTCCAGCGCACACACTTTGCTTTCCCCTCCAGGTCTGGCTTGGCACCCAGGAGACCTGGTCCCACTGGAGAGCTGCTTTTACAGGACATCCCCACCGGCTCCGCCCCTGCTGCTCAGCATCGGCTTCCACAACCACCAATGGGCAGGGGTGGAGCTGGGGCCAGCTCCTCTCTGTCCCCTCTGCAGGCTGAGCTGCTGCCCCCTCTCTTGGAGCATCTGCTGCTGCCCCCACAGCCTCCCCACTCTGCCCTGAGTTATGAACCTGCTTTGCTGCAACCCTACCTGTTCCACCAGGTAAGCCCTTGACTCTGGCACCGCCTAACTGCAGTCCCACAGTCCCTCAGCCCTGACTTCTGCTCTTACCCAGATCTCTGGTTTTCCACAGTTTGGCTCCCGTGATGGTTCCCGGGTCTCAGAAGGCTCCTCAGGGGTGGTCAGTGTCAGTCCCCTGCCCAAGGCTGAAGCCCCTGCCCTCTTCAGCAGAACTGCCTCCAAAGGCATATATGGGGACTCCCCTGGCCACTCCTATGGGGACCTTCCAGGGCCTTCACCTGCCCAGCTTTTTCAGGACTCCGGGCTGCTCTATCTGGCCCAGGAGTTGCCAACGCCCAGCAGGGTCAGGATGCCAAGGCTGCCAGAGCAAGGGGGCAGCAGCCAGGCAGAGGACTCCCCAGGGGGCTACGAGAAGGATGGACTAGGGGGCCACAGAGAGAAGCCTGCCTCCCCAGCAGTGCAACCAGGTAACAAAGTCCTCAGCATCCACCTCCCTGTGGGAGCTGTTTGGGGGAACCATGGTGGGGACCCTCCCTGATAATCCATGCATTTGTTAACTTGTCCTTAAAAGTCATTCATCCATTTAAGGAATGTCTAATGATAAGCTGTTCCATGCCAGGCACTAAGGAAGTGGTGGGGACACCGTAGGGAATGGGAACACCGTGGGGAGTGACTCTCCACTGGAAGGAGAGCCAAAATGTCCTGAAGTTTGGTCTGGGCCCCGGGGAAGACCTTTTCCCTAACGTGTGGACAAGGGCTGGGAAGGGGAGGGCAACCTTTAGTGTCCTGGTGTTTGGGAAGAGTACTTAATGTGTTAGTCCCCTCCCACCCTGAGTCACCCCCCTGCATCCCACAAGTTCGCCCCACAATCAACCCTAAGCTCTGTGTCTGGCTCCCAGCAGATGTGGCTCTGCAGAGGCTGGCCGCTGTGCTGGCAGGCTACGGGGTAGAGCTGCGTCAGCTGACCCGTCAGCTGACTCCTGAGCAGCTCTCCACACTCCTGACCCTACTGCAGTTACTGCCCAATGGTGCAGGAAGAAATCCAGGTGAGTGTCCAGGCAGAGGGAGGGACCAGCATCACCCAGCTCCGTGGATGCCTCTTGCCCCACCTCAAGACCGCATGGAGTAGCCTGGAAGGGAAGAGTCAGGCCTAGGGAGAGAGAGTTCCTTTGAGAGATAGGATTATTACCAGTAAGGTGGGAGCAAGGGGGTAGAGTGGTGAGCTGAGGAATTAGATCAGGAAAAGACTAGAGGGTGAAAGTAATGGAAAAAGCAGCCAACGGAGGGTGTGAGCAGGGAAAAGGAGGCATCAGGAAAGGTGAATCAGTGACAATGAGGGTGTAAAAATGGGCTTAGCCAATGCTAAGAAGGCAGTAATTGATAGGTAGAGATGAGCAAAGAATAGCTTTGAGAGAGATGGTCAATGACAGAGGGAGTTGGGAGGAGGAAGCAAAGATGAATGAGGCCAGGCTTAGGGTGAGACTAGTAACAGGGTCTTGGTCACTGACTGAGGAAGAAGACCACAGCAAATGTACCAGGCTCGGGGGTTCTGGCCCTTTCTCCCACTTGTGATGTGGGGACCTTGGCCATGGCCATTTTTCCAGACTCTTGTTTTTCCTGTCTCACAGGAGGGGTTGTAAATGTTGGAGCTGATATCAAGAAAGTGAGTCCCCAGCACCTCCTTGACTCCTCATCACCCCATGGCAGCACACCCCCTTGACAAACCTAGATCTCAAATTCAGGACCCAGAATCCGTATCCTCCCACCCCTCATTTTGGGGAAAACCAAGGCCTAGAGACTGCAAGTCATTACCTAAGATCTCGCATCAAGTTGATGGCAGAACTGGGGCTAGGAAACCGAATTCTTAATTCATTGATCTTTTCACTGCAATCATTTCACACCATTCTCTGAGGATTCCTAGGGAAGGAGGGAAGTTTCAATCAGGGAGCCCTTCCTGAGCTTCCATAGCTGGAGGAGCTCTGCTTCTTTCCGTTTCGTGTGTTGGAGTTCTAAGACTCTGTGGCTAAACAGAAGTCTAGAAACCACTGCCTGCCTGTTCATCCTCTACCCCAACTTCTCTGGCTGCAGAGGTTTCCCTCTCCAGCCCCATTCTGTGGATTAGAACAGACCATTTTCAATCATGCAACCCTTTATTCATTCATGCATGCACTTGCCTCACATGATCTGGTGTCCTCTCTGTACCCAGCACTGCAGTAGTCCCCGAGGGTAGAAAGCTAAAAGCAGGTCCTGAGCTCCACTGTGGAAAGCTCAGAGTCCAGGGCACCCCTTCCCCCAGCACTGTCCAGATGCACACCTCCACCCTCTCTTCTGAACAGACAATGGAGGGGCCAGTGGAGGGCAGAGACACAGCAGAGCCTCCACCCCCCACACCCTCCATGCCTGGATACCCCACTGCCAGCCCCACCTCCAGTGAAGTCCAGCAGGTGCCAAGCCCTGTCTCCTCTGAGCTTCCCGAAGCTGCCAGACCCCCCGCCACACCTGTCCTGCTGGAGAAGAAAAGTCCACTGGGCCAGAGCCAGCCCACAGTGGCAGGACAGCCCTCAGCCCAGCCAGCAGCAGAGGAATATGGCTACATTGTCACTGACCAGAAGTAAGGGCTGCATCCTGGGAAGCCTTCCAGTCAGCTGAGAGTTGGGCTGGCCTGCCTACCCAGAAGCAGAGAGCAGAAATCCAGATGTGTAGGGACAGGGAAGTGGCAGGCTGCTCTGTGCCCTTGGAGTGACCTGTTTTAAGAAAGTGATTCAGTCAGGTCACACCTGTATCCCCAGCACTTTGGGAGGCTGAGGTGGGTAGATCACCTGAGGTCAGGAGTTTGAGACCAGCCTGGCTAACATGGTGAAAACCTGTCTCTACTTAAAATTTAAAAATTAGCTAAATGTGGTGGCAGGTGCCTGTAATCCCAGCTACTCGGGAGGCTGAGGCAAGAGAATTACTTGAACTCGGGAGGCAAAGGTTGCAGTGAGCTGAGATTGTGCCATTGCACTCCAGCCTGGGTGACAAGAGTGACACTCTGTCTCAAAAACAAACAAACAAAACATGACTAGGCACAGTGGCTCACGCCTGTAATCCCAGCACTTTGGGAGGCCGAGGTAGACGGATCACCTGAGATTGGGAGTTCGAGACCAGCCTGACCAACATGGTGAAACCCCATCTCTACTAAAAATAGCAAAAATCAGCCGTGTGTGATGACACGCACCTGTAATCCCAGCTATTAAAGAGGCTGAGGCAGGAGAATTGGCTTGAACTCGGGAGGCACAGGTTTCGATAAGCTGAGATCGTGCCACTGCACTCCAGCCTGGGCAAGAAGAGCCAGACTATATCTCAAAACAACATCAAAGAAAGTGACTGAGGGTTGCCCCACTTTCCTTCCTCTGCCTTCTCCCATCTCCAGGCCCCTGAGCCTGGCTGCAGGAGTGAAGCTGCTGGAGATCCTGGCTGAGCATGTGCACATGTCCTCAGGCAGCTTCATCAACATCAGGTGAGGCTGGCATCTTGCTGGGGCAGTGGCCAAGATCTAGAAGGCAGCTTGAGCCAGGAGGTGGCTGGAGGGGCTTGGGGGAGGAAGGGCAGACAAGGTCTGAGCTGAGGGATGCTCCCAGCTGTATTGAAGGTACAGCCACACCCAGCCCGTTACTGGCCCCACCCAGCATCTTCCTTGCCTCAGATACCCTTGTAGCGCATCCCGGATCTGCTCCAGCCCCATCCTCTAATCGGGAGGGGGCCGGAGCTGGCCTCTTTTGGAGTCTGCGGTCTAGGGTGGAGAAGGCAGTAACATAGCTCCTATCTGGCAGTGTGGTGGGACCAGCCCTCACCTTCCGCATCCGGCACAATGAGCAGAACCTGTCTTTGGCGGATGTGACCCAACAAGCAGGTAAATACCGCGACCTCAACTCCAGGGTTGGCCCCAACCCCATTCCTAAGAGGATATATCCAGGCCTGTGGCTGATCCCCCCTTGAATGTTCCTGGCCCACATGGGCCCTGCCTGCCGCTTGGCAGAGCAAGACAGAGGGTGGAGACCACACGGGGCTGGAGCGAATCTGACCTGCGTCCTCCCTGCAGGGCTGGTGAAGTCTGAACTGGAAGCACAGACAGGGCTCCAAATCTTGCAGACAGGAGTGGGACAGGTATGCGCTAACTGGAGAATCAGTCAAGGCCCCCAGAGGGCTGATGTTGTCCACAAGAGCTGGAGGTGAACTAGAGGGGAGAACTGGAGCTGAAACCTGTGCCCGGCTTGCTGGGGGCGGCCTTCGCCCAAGCAGTCCCTCCCCCTGCAGTTCTCTTTCTGACCAGCAGATGGCGCAGGTGTCCCCTCCCTGCAAGAAAGGCCTGAGAACTAGCTGAGCCACCCTTAGCCAGCTGGAGGGAAGTCTCCAAATTCCAAGGGAAAACCTTGCACAGAAAGCACATTATACTCAAAATAAGTTTTGTTTGTTTGTTTTAGACAGTTTCACTCTAATCTCCCAGGCTGAAGTGCAGTGGTGCAATCTCCGCTCACTGCAACCTCTGCCTACCAGGTTCAAGCGATTCTCCTGTCTCAGCCTCCCAAGTAGCTGGGATTACAGGCGCACACCACCACACGTGGCTAAATTTTTTGTATTTTTAGTAGAGACGGGGTTTCACCATGTTGGCCAGCCTGGTCTCGAACTCCTGACCTCAGGTGATCTGCCTGCCTTGGCCTCCCAAAGTGCTGAGATTACAGGTGTGAGCCACCACGCCCGGCCTACACTCAAAATATCCTTGTCTTCTGCATGCAACACTGGTGCCTCACATCCTACAATTCAATTCCTAGGGTTCTCTGTCTGCTTCTCTATTTTTAAATGCAAACACTCCTCGGGCTCTGTGGTGTGGTTGACTTGACCTGATGGGGATTGAGAAGCAGAATCTGAGCCCGTCCGGCTATCCCACCATCCCCCTATACTCCCAGCTTTCTTCCAGGAGATGTCCTAACAGGGAGTGTGGCATGGGACGGGGCTGAGGAACAGCTCCGAAATCTCCCCATGCCACTGCCTCCCTTGATTCTAGCCTTGTTCCCACAGAGGGAGGAGGCAGCCGCAGTCCTTCCCCAGACCGCGCACGGCACCTCTCCCATGCACTCAGTGCTGCTCACTCTGGTGGCCCTGGCAGGCGTGGCCGGGCTGCTGGTGGCTCTGGCTGTGGCTCTGTGTGTGCGGCAGCACGCACGGCAGCGGGACAAGGAGCGCCTGGCAGCCCTGGGGCCTGAGGGGGCCCATGGTGACACTACCTTTGAGTACCAGGTGTGCAGCCCCAGAAGCTGGTTGAATAGAGGAAATGCAAGGAGGTTGGGAGTCTCTGTCTTGCATGGAGGGAGGGTAGGAATTGAATGGAGAGTGAGCCCCCATCCCTGGGAAGGTCCAGTGGAGGCTGGAGAAGCCCCAGTGGGAGGGAGTACAGTGGGGGCCTTTGTGAATGGGTGGGAGCTGGGAGCATATGATGCCTAAGGTTCTTCTTGGTGTGGTGCTTCTGGGGTTCTGGGATTCCACTCTATCATGTCTGAGGCTGACATTAGCCCCACCCAAGTAGAACAACCCTGAAAAGGACCAGGGCCAGGCAGAAGACCCTACCCCAGAGGAGGTGAGTTTCACTGAAACTCAGTCAAGGACAAGTCTAGGAGCCCACCGTTGAACCCAGGGCCCTGTTGAAAGTTGCAGGGGACTCTTGGACCTCACCTGGTTCTTCCTCCTTAGGACCTGTGCCGCCAGCACATGGCCACAAAGTCCCTGTTCACCAGGGCAGAGGGTCCGCCAGAGCCTTCTCGGGTGAGCAGCGTGTCCTCCCAGTTCAGCGATGTGGCCCAGGCCAGCCCCAGCTCCCACAGCAGCACCCCGTCCTGGTGCGAGGAGCCGGCCCAAGCCAACATGGACATCTCCACGGGACACATGATTCTGGTCAGGACATGGCCTGGGCCCCGAGTGGGTGAGGGAATGGGATGGCAGGAGAGACCAGGCTGGCTGTGTGGGCCAGAGCCAGACCGAGGCACCCCCACAGGCGTACATGGAGGACCACCTGCGGAATCGGGATCGCCTGGCCAAGGAGTGGCAGGCCCTCTGTGCCTACCAAGCAGAGCCAAACACCTGTGCCACTGCGCAGGGGGAGGGTAACATCAAAAAGAACCGGCATCCTGACTTCCTGCCCTGTGAGTGAACCCTGCTGGCCAGCCCGGCCCAGCCCTCTCTCCGCTGCGAGGTCTGGAGGGCTTAGGGGAAGGGATTGGGCTTCTGGCTCAGGCTGAGTGGCAGAGGTCCCGGGATGCCAATGACCAGAGAGCCATCTGGGGTGAGATGTGGGTCTTTGCAGATGACCATGCCCGCATAAAACTGAAGGTGGAAAGCAGTCCTTCTCGGAGTGATTACATCAATGCCAGCCCCATTGTGAGTGGCCCTGACTCCAGCCCCCACCTCTGTCCCATTATTAACCTGGCCCTATGCACTCCATTCCCCTGTGGTCACCTCCCACCCCACCCACCCCCTGGAATGGTGGGGCCTGATATCCTAGCAAGGAAAGGGGGAATGGCCAGCCTTCTCAGACCCTGACCCACTTGCTTTGAAAATTCACAGTGAATTTTCCCACACTGGCTCATGGTGTATCTTCCCTGCCTCCAGATCGAGCATGACCCTCGAATGCCAGCCTACATAGCCACACAGGGCCCTCTGTCCCATACCATCGCAGACTTCTGGCAGGTGGGTTCTTAAAGGGAGGGCTTCTCCGGGGTCCTTGTGGCCAGCCAGGTCCCAGGGAGGTTAGAGTGGAGCTCACCTGGGTCTCTGTCCTAGATGGTGTGGGAAAGCGGCTGCACTGTCATCGTCATGCTGACCCCGCTGGTGGAGGATGGTGTCAAGCAGTGTGACCGCTACTGGCCGGATGAGGGTTCTTCCCTCTACCATGTATATGAGGTCAGCGGGGCCCCACAGCAAGGGGACAGTGGGTGTGGGGACAGTAGATGATGACTACTCAACAGTCTTTTTAAAAAGCCTTTTATTGGCTGGGTGTGGTGGTTCACACTTGTAATCCCACCACTTTGGGAGGCCAAGGTGGGCATATCACACAGTCAGGAGTTCAAGACCAGCCTGGCCAACATAATGTATTTTTTGTAAAAACACAAAAAATTAGCCAGGTGTGGTGGCAGACACCTGTAATCCCAGCTACTTGGGAGGCTGAGGCAGGAGAATCACTTGAACCTGGGAGGCAGAGGTTGCAGCGAGTGGAGATCATGCCAGCCTGGGCAACAGTGTGAAACTCTGTCTTTAAAAAAAAAAAAAAAAAGGCTTTTATTGGCCCTGCTCATGATTTATACACGTATGAATATATATAAACACATATATGCACACACATATATTCACACACATACATACATACATGTGTGTGTGTCCTGTCTAGAGCCAAAAAGCATTCATAGAGACATAATAAAGGCACAGAAATAAAACTATAAAACCATCAAAACTGAGGTACAAAGCTAAGAGCTAAATGCATACAAGACAGGAAAGGTAAGTATACTCAAAGACTGAGATTAAGACCTACTTCAATTGAGCCTAATTTAGCTCTGAGTTTCCTAGTGGCCAAAGCAAAGAAAGAAATACCACCAGTTACATATGTTATTAATGTAAAACAGAAACAAACTTTTTCATTAGGAGAGAGACTAGGTGGAAAGGTGGAGAAAGAGGGGGAACTGGGCAGAGGCCAAGCAGGGGAAAGAGGTTTCAGATAAACAGGAGGTGAGTCCCCATAAGACAAAATAAGAACAAAACAGAAGCTTCTCATCAGCACATGAGCCTGAATAGCAATTTATCTCCCATCAAATAAGCACATTGCAATTTTGTTTTGTTTTGTTTTGTTTTTTGAGACAGAGTCCTGGTTCTGTCACCCAGGTTGGAGTGCAGTGGCAAGATCTTGGCTCACTGCAACCTCTGCCTCCCAGATTCAAGCGATTCTCCTGCCTCAGCCTCCTGAGTTGCTGGGATTACAGGCGCGCGCCACCATGGCCGGCTAATTTTTGTATTTTTAGTAGAGACAGAGTTTCACTATGTTGGTCAGGCTGGTGTTGAACCCCTGGCCTTGAGATCCGCTCATCTCGGCCTCCCAAAGTGCTGGGATTACAGGCGTGAGACACGGTGCCCAGCCGACGGGGTATTTTTTTTTTTTTTTTTTTTTTTTGAGATGGAGTTTTGCTCTTGTTACCCAGGCTGGAGTGCAATGGCGCAATCTCGGCTCACCGCAACCTCCGCCTCCTGGGCTCAGGCAATTCTCCTGCCTCGGCCTCCCGAGTAGCTGGGATTACAGGCACGCGCCACCATGCCCAGCTAATTTTTTGTATTTTTAGTAGAGACGGGGTTTCACCATGTTGACCTAGATGGTCTCAATCTCTTGACCTTGTGATCCACCCGCCTCGGCCTCCCAAAGTGCTGGGATTACAGGCGTGAGCCACCGCGCCCGGCCCGTATTTTTTTTTTTTTTTTTTTTTAAGCCTTTCATTGGTCCTGCTGGTGGTTAATGAAAAAAATCAGAAGAGAATATTACAGAATTTCATCCAAGTTTATGGTACGTGTAGCACAGACACTCTGGTAGACCCTGCGAGGAAGAGGAAGGAGAAAGTCCGACCTCGAGAGGTTCACAACAGTTGTGTCTGGGTGCAAAAGGCTACCAGTGGTCCTGAGCAGTAGATAAGTGACAGGCACCCAGGGTTCCTGGGACCGCTGGGACTTAGAATTTGAACCGGCCTGGGAGGGCCGAGGGCGGGTTAGAGAGACCGAGAAGGCCGCGAGGAGCGCGCGCAGACTAGACGCGGGGACTGGGGCGTCCCGCGGCGCTCAGGCCTGGACCCCGCCGGGCAGGTGAACCTGGTGTCGGAGCACATCTGGTGCGAGGACTTCCTGGTGCGAAGCTTCTACCTGAAGAACGTGCAGACGCAGGAGACGCGCACGCTCACGCAGTTCCACTTCCTCAGCTGGCCGGCAGAGGGCACCCCGGCCTCCACGCGGCCCCTGCTGGATTTCCGCAGGTGAGCGCGGGCGCCCTCGCCTGGAGGGGCCGCCTGGGCGGGGGCGGAGCAGGGATCCGCCCGCCAGCTCGGCCTGGAGCCTCGGGTTGGGCCAGAAGCCTCGGCCTCTGACCTCTGGCCGCCCCCAGCAGAGCCCACCGTCCCACCCCTCAAATCAGACCTGCGGCTCCAGCTGTGCCGGTCCCCGCGTGGGCCAGCTCCGCGCCGGCCGCTGCTGCTCCGCTCCTCCCTCTCACGCTCGCGGGACTGGCTCCTTCGCCTCCATCTGCTTCCTCTAGGGGGCCCTCCAGCTTTCTGGCTCCCCTCCCTCTCGGGGCCCCTGCTTCCTCTCTTCCCGTTTGCTCCGGCCTCACCGTCTCCAGGTCCTGTCCTGCGTTGATCGCTGCCCACTCCATCTCTCTCTCCCTCCTGCCCGTCTCCCCTCCTTCATCCCTGTCCGTCTCTCCGCCTCTCTTTTTGTGTCGTTCATTTTTTCCTTTCCTCTTTCTTACTCTTCTCTCTCCCCATCTCTTCCTCACTCTGTCTCTGCCTTACCCATTCCCTCTCTCTCCTTTTCTCCCTCCGCGCTTCCCTTCCTTTCTCTCTGTCCTTCTCCCTTGTTTTTCTCCACCTCCTTCCCTGTCTGCCGGTTTATCTCGGTTTCTCTCGGCCTCTCTGTCCGTCCCTCCCTCTTCCTGCCGCTGCGAGTCTCCTCCTCTCTCTGTTCTTCCCTCCCTTCTCCCCTCTTTCTCTCTCTCCCTCACAGCTGCCAGCGTCATTTTTGTGATCTGCAGCTAGTATTCTCACTCCAGTTGCATAGTCACAAAAGTGATCATTGGCAGGTGTGGCTGCTGCATGGACAGACAGGACATGTGGCCCGGGGACCACCCCGAGCGGGGAGCAGGGGGAACAGGGAAGAGGCAAAGACTGTCAAAAGGAGTGTGGGAGGATCTCTGGACTGGGGGAGGGGGGCGCTCAGTGGAGCAGGTGGGGCTAGACAGGGGCTACCCGAGAGACTTACCCTTTACCTACACTGACACCAAGACAGGTCAGCCCTCCAGCGTCCCCTACCTTTCCCAGCTCCAGACAGGTAGTTGGGAAACCCGCCACCAGGGGCAGGGGCCCACCCGCACCACACCCTTCTCCTGCTTCTCCCCTTGCCAAGCAGGCCTGAGGTCTCTAGGTACTGGACAAAGCAGCACTGCTAGGGGTGGGGACCTGGGTATAGTTTCTGAACCTCAGGACAGCGGTTTCTAACTGGGGTCCTTGAGAGCTGAGACACAGGCATCTTGAAAGCAGTGCCAGGGTATCAAAACTATTTCCTTTTTTCCACGTTTTGAAAATCCTGATAGAACTAGCGCATGCATCTGTTTTAAGGCTGCACAGTCACTTCATCTACTTGATTGCAAAAAAAAAAAGAGAGAAAAAAAGGCGGCAGTGAGGGCGCTGCACAGATAGCTGGCCAGGCACAGTGGCTCACACCTGTAATCCCAGCACTTTGGGAGGCCGAGGTGGGTGGATCACAAGGTCAGGAGTTCAAGACCAGCCTGACCAACATGGTGAAACCCCATCTCTACTAAAAATACAAAAATTAGCCAAGTGTTGTGGCAGGCACCTGTAATCCCAGCTACTCAGGAGGCTGAGGCAGGAGAATTGCTTGAACTCAGGAAGCAGAAGTTACAGTGAGCTGAGATCACGCTGCTGCACTCCAGCCTGGACAACAGAGCAAGATTCCATCTCAAAAAAGAAGAAAAAAAAAAAGGCTGCATAGATAAGCTAAAAGACTGTTTTTGCTTTAGGCTGGAATTACGTAAACTCAGTTGGCATAAGATATCCAGAAAAAATAAATTGGTGGTTAAGAAATGCAGTTCGGGGGCTGGGCAGAGTGGCTCACGCCTATAGTCCCAGTGCTTTGGGAGGCTAAGGGGGGCAGATCACTTGGGGTCAGGAGTTCAAGACCAGATTGGTCAACATGGTGAAACCCTGTCTTTGCTAAAAATACAAAAATTAGCTGGGTATGATGGCGCATGCCTGTAGTCCCAGCTACTCGGGAGGCTGAGACAGGAGAATCGCTTGAACCTGGGAGGCAGGGGTTCCAGTGAGCCAAGATCATGCCACTGCACTCCTGCCTGGGTGACAGAGCGAGACTCCCTCTCAAAATAAATAAATAAAAATAAATGCAGTTCGGTGAAGATGCCCCAGAAAGAAAACAAATTAATAAAAGAGACCCTAAGAAAGTGACCCTGAGCAAGTTCCTTGGCGTCCCCCACCTGTGAGATGAGGATGATGACACATACTTTAGAGCAGAGGTCCCCAAGCTTTTTGGCATCAGGAACCAGTTTTGTAGAAGACAATTTTTTTCACAGCTTGGAGACGGGGTAGTTTGGGGATGAAACTGCTCCCCCTCAGATCATCAGGCATTAGATTCTTTCTTTCTTTTTTTTTTTTTTTTTTTTTGAGATACAGTCTTGCTCTGTCACCCAGGCTGGAAAGCAGTGGCATGATCTCAGCTCACTGCAATCTCTGCCTCCCTGGTTCAAGCGATTCTACTGTCTCAGCCTCCCAAGTAGCTGAGACTACAGGCAGCGCCACCACGCCCAGCTAACTTTTGTAGATTTAGTAGAGACAGGGTTTCACTATGTTGGCCAAGATGGTCTCGATCTCTTGACCTTGTGATCCACCCACCTCAGCCTCCCAAAGTACTGGGATTACAGGGGTGAGCCACCCCACCCGGCCACATTAGATTCTTATAAGGAGCTTGCAACCTAGATACCCCACATGTGCAGCTCACGATAGGGTTCACGCTCCTGTGAGAGTCTATTGTACCCACTAATCTAACAGGAGGTGGGGCTCAGGCAGTAATACTCGCTTGCCCACCACTCACCTACTGCTATGCAGCTCAGTTCCCAACAGGCCACAGACTGACACCATCCATGGCCCAGGGATTGGGGACCCCTGCTTCAGAGGATTGTTGCAAGATTTGATAAAGTACATAAAATCTAGTGTAAGTGCCTGATACATAGCAAGGGCTCAGTTAATTCAAGATGCTACCTATTATCATTATTAAGTGAGTGAAAACAACTATTGTGACTGCTCTTCTGCCCCAGCCCTCTGACATAACAGCCAGTGAGCTAGAAAACCATATGGACTCCTATAAAGCCATTCTAAGTCACCTGGCCCTGTAGCTGAAGGACTGCAAAGTTCCAGACTTCGATCTGACGACCCCTAAGAAGGTTTTCCCTAGTTCTGGCCTGCAGGGATATCAGGAATATGCAGGTGACTCCCAAAGCAGAAAGGTCATAAGGGACAAGGGCCGGTTAGATGGTTCCATTGAGAGATGGAACCCCCTGCTCCTCAATGAGTCATGATCAGGGGCAGCAGAGAAAGGTTTGAGGTCCAAGTGGACCCCAAGTCTGAATATAAGCCAGCCACAGAATGCCTGTGCTGAAGTGAGTCTGCTCCAAGGAGACAGGGAGTAGCACTATGTCCCAAGTTGAGGGGTTGGGGTTGTCCTCCCCTGGCCCAGGGAACGCTATGCCCAGGGCAGCCTGATGTCACAACTGGTAAGGACCATTGGAGCCTGAGTAGGGAGGAGAACAGCCTGGGTAGTCATAGAGGATGGCAGAGGGGCAGAGCAGGGATGTAGCAACACTGACACCTTTGAAGTCACCAGAAAGCCAGGACTTGGGCAGAGGAGGCTCTTAATATGATGATGTATTATCATCAATAATTTCTACCATGTATTGAGCACCTACTATGTGCCAGACCTGGCACTGAGCTCTTTACGTGAGTTATCTCATGTGGCCATTATGCGAACCCTAAGGATGTTACTATTATTATCCTCCATTTCACAGGTAAGAAAACTGAGGCTCAAAGAGGCTAACTCAGTTGTTCCAGGCACATGGTTGGGCACCTAGCTTGTAAGTGACAAGGCAAGCCCAGTGCCAACCACCCTAGCTCTGGCTCTTTGCCTCCAGCCCTGGCTCCTTTCTCTGACCATCTTCCCCCACTGCCCTGGGCAGGTGGGGAGAAAAGGAGGAAAGAGAGACCCACAGCATGCGTTTCAGCTTCCCTTTCCCTCAGCCGGTGCCCACTGGCCCTCACGCCCATTTCTTGTTGCAGGAAGGTGAACAAGTGCTACCGGGGCCGCTCCTGCCCCATCATCGTGCACTGCAGGTGGGTGGAGGGGGTTTCCTGTCCCTGGTCCCACTCCCTGTGTGTGTCTCCTATGCACATTGCCTGCCTGTCCCCTTGGTGCCAGCAAACTGCAGGCGCAGGCTCCAGCACACCACCTGTTTTTAATGGCCAAAATCACGTTCACATTTTTAAATGGGTGAAGAAACAAGAAGAAAAGTATGTGACACAAACTGTACGTGGCCCACAAAGTTGGAAATATTTACCATTGTCCCCTGATGTACACAAAAAGTTTGCTGAAGGCTAGAGAGGCCCATCCAATCCCCTCCTGCTGGCTCCACGGCAGGGCTGAGCCGTGGCTCTCCTTTTTGGTTGTCCCATTGCTCAAGTGACACCCACAGGTCACAGACCCCCTTCTCAAGGCCCAAGTCTCAGCGTGCAGGTGCTATGAGCTTTCCTTCATCCTCAGCTCACTCACACCCTCTCCAAGCCAACCCAAATGGGTCACTCAGTGTCCTCCCCATTCCAGGCCTCCTCTGTCCCTCCCCTTTCTGCTGCATTGCAATCTAAACCTGTCATTAACTCCTGTTTCAGTGATGGTGCAGGGAGGACCGGCACCTACATCCTCATCGACATGGTCCTGAACCGAATGGCAAAAGGTAGGGAGCTTCCCATGGTGCCCGCAGCCCCCAGGCCCTTTATAGAGGCTCCCTAGCACACAGGGTCCTGGGAACTCGGAAGGAGCAGGTTGTCAACCTCCAGCCTCTTCCCAGTCCTCCAAGACCTCCCCACCAAGGAGGCCCCAGGCTTTCTGGGTCCCATCCTCCTCTGGACACCCCCTGAGCAGCCCCATCCCCCCCATCTTCAGGAGTGAAGGAGATCGACATCGCTGCCACTCTGGAGCATGTCCGTGACCAGCGGCCTGGCCTTGTCCGCTCTAAGGTGACTGTACCTTCCTGCCCCAACCCCAGCTGCCACCCTTCCCTAGCACCCACTTCTTGGCCACCCTAGGGAAAGCAGCAGCTGCCAACCTCTCCCACCTGCCTCTGCGTTTCCTCCAGGAGGACTCCCCTCCTCCCAGGGGACCTGCCTAGGGGTCTCCACCCCCACTGAAAGCCCCCCACCTCAAGGGCAGAGCAGAGGCCAGGCCTCTCTGTGACCATCCTGCCCCTGCCCTTCCCCAGGACCAGTTTGAATTTGCCCTGACAGCCGTGGCAGAGGAGGTGAATGCCATCCTTAAGGCTCTGCCCCAGTGAGACCCTGGGGACCCTTGGTGGGCAGCCCAGCCTTTGTCCTTTGCCTGTGTGGGCATCTCTGTGTACCCACTCCTCACTGCCTGACCGGCCACCTCTTGGGCATGCCCAGCCCTTCCTAGAAGAGTCAGGAAGGGGAAGCCAGAAGGGACACACCTGCCCAGCCTCACGTATGCCAGAGCCCAGGGCATCCCAGAGCCCGGGGCGTCCCATGGGCGCTCTGCAGCCAGGAGGAGAGGAAAGGACGTGGGCAGCAATTCTACCCAGAGCCTTCTCCTGCCTGTGTTCCCTGGCTTGGCTCTCCCATGGCTCTCCCATGGTTCTGGGAGCTCTCCCTGTGTCTGTGTGTGCCCCCCTACGCTCCAGTGTGGAAGAACAGGGTGGAGAGTCACCACACCCGGCTCTCTCTGCTTCTCAGCCCCGGGCCTGCCTCCTTGACTCACACTTGGGCATTCCGCCCTCCCTGCCCTCATGCCCAGCCTCCTCCCACCGCCCTCCAACCATGTGCTGCTCAACCTCTCTCCTTCTGGTACAAGAGAACATTTCTAGAAAAATCTACTTTTGTACCAATGTGAATAAAGTTAGTGTGTTGTCTGTGCAGCCGCAACCCAGACTTCTACGAGTTTGTCTGCTCTGGTTCCTGACTCCAACCCCAGCCTCAGTCTGGAGCCCGTCCCTGCTGGTCTCTCAGGAGGTGCAGAGAGCACAGCAGGAAAGGACCAGCTGCAGTCAGGCACTCCTGGGCAGGAACATAAGCTTAGAACCACAGGGATTCCTATGTGGCCGGCAGTCTCCAAAGTGCTTTACATGACGAGCCCCATTTTATAGGGGGAAAAGACTGAGGCACAGAACTTTCTTGTGTAACATGTAACACAACTTGTAAGATTATAAAGTGGCTGGGTGCAGAGGCTCACACCTATAATCCCAGCACTTTGGAAGGCAGAGGTGGGCAGATCACCTGAGGTCAGGAGTTCAAGACCAGCCTGGCTGACATGGCAAAACCCCGTCTCTATTAAAAATACAAAAAAATTAGCTGTGCATGGTGGCGCATGCCTGTAATCCCAGCTACTCAGGAGGCTGAGGCATGAGACTCCCTCGAACCCAGGAGGTGGAGTTTGCAGTGAGCCGAGATCGTGCTGCTGTACTCGAGCCTGGGTGATAGTGAGACTGTCTCAAAAAAAAAAGAAAGAAAAGATTGTCAGGTGAGTTAGAGTCTGCACCTGGCTGACTAACCTCCTCTCTATGCCTCTCCTCTCAGTTCTTTTTTTGTTTTGGGTGTCACCCAGGCTGGAGTGTAGTAGCATGAACTCGGCTCACTGCAACCTCTACCTCCCAGGCTCCAGCAATTTTCCTGCCTCAGCCCGGGGAGTAGCTGGGATTACAGGCATGAGCCACCATGCCTGGCTAATTTGTTCTAGTTTCAGTAGAGAAGAGGTTTTGCCATGTTGCCCAGGCTGGTCTGGAACCCCCGAGCTCAGACAATCTGCCCATTTCGGCTTCCCAAAGTGCTGGGATTACAGGTGTGAGCCACTGAGCCTGGCCTCCTCTCAGTTCTTCCCAGCTGCTTTGTGCCCTTCAGCTGCCGGATTGAGGTGAGCACTGAACAAGGTGACTCTAGCAAAGTGCCTGCTCACCTTAGGCAAAACTCTGACAGTGGCCGGGCCTGTGAGATGCTAGGAAAGGCGTTCCCCTGGAGGTAAAGGACACTTTCTGTCTCACCCCAGCTCCTGCCCTGTATGGTCCTAGAAGGCACACTCACCTGCGTGTCATGAGGTGTCCTTGGACAAAAGTGGTGGACATTAAATAAGCCGAAAAGAGCCTTAGGCCTGGGGCTATTTGGGAGTTGGCCACTTACCTGGGCTCAGGCTCAGTCTCCTTAAATAAAAACAGGGCAAACACCGTCTGCCCTGAGCAGGAGTGGAGGGACTAGCCGGCAGACCACAGGCCCTGCCACTGTCTCACCCACACTCTGCTGAGCTCAGCACCAGTGACAAGCATCTCAAAGGCTAGAAGTAGATGAAACAGCCATTTGCAAACTTCCACCCTCCTTGCTTGCACTCAGGATGGAGGCTTGAAATTTCCTCTTTGAGGGTAGACTGCTTCTTTGCTTTGAGAAAAACATAATAGAGACCCTTTGGTGATTGGTGGGGAAGCAAGAGCCTATCCTGAATGGAAGAGAGGCCTGGGGAGCCACCTGGCCCTGCTTGACAACAGAAAGGTGCTTGTCCCAGCACGGTTGCTAGAGATGAAAGGGAAGGGGTACCTGGCTTTTTCTTCCCTGGGCCCTGATGAGTTTGGGGCCTGGGCCTTGGGTGGGCTGGACTCGTGCTGCTCCACGTCACTGGCTCATGCCTCAGGCTGAGCCAATGAAACCTGCCCAGGGGCTTAGTCTGTGGGCCTGGGCAAGGGTGGGGGACAGTTTAAAGGTTTCACCATGTGTTCTCAGCTTTCTGTGCTCTCAGTCCCCATGCTTTAAGTCTTTGTTTTTTTCTTTTTTTGAGAGTCTCACTCTGTTGCCCAGGCTGGAGTGCAGTGGCTCGATCTTGGCTCTCTGCCTCCCAGGTTCAAGCAATTCTCCTGCCTCAGCATTCCTGCATAGCTGGGATTACAGGCATGCACCAACACATCTGACTTTTTTTTTTTTTTTTTTTTGCATGTTGGCCAGGCTGGTCTCAAACATCTGGCCTCAAGTGTTCCGCCCTCCTCAGCCTCCCAAAGTGCTGAGATTATAGGCGTGAGCCACCATGCCTGGCCTGTCAAGTCTGAACTGAGTATGGTCCTAGCTGTGTTGTGGAGTACTAGGGGGTGAGGCCCCGCATAAGGGTAACATTGGCAGCTAGGGAAAGCCAGTATGGACCCCCAAGAGGTGAAGGCAAAGAATGGAAGCATTGCTTGGGGTTCCACAACATACTTGGGGAGGGCAGCCTGGTCAAAGAGTGCACTTCTGCCTTCGACTGGCAAGCCCTGTACCTCTAGCTAAACAGGCATAAAGGGAGGTGTGAAGCCTGAAGTGTCACCCACTGTCCTTTAGAGGCCCTCCTAGGCTACCCTGGAAAGTAGGAATACAAGAACCCAACACACCACCGAGCTCTCAAAACAGTTTTATTGCCTTCCAGCATTTTCCCCTCCGTCTGAGCTCAGCCCAGGTGGCTTTGGTTCGTCTCTGAGACTCAGTGTTACAGAAGCTGGCTCCACCACTTCCCTCCCTGGCTGTGGGGCTCCCCAGGCAGGGAGGAGGAGAGGCGGCTCATCTGTGATGTTGGAAAGAATGGGCAGCAGGGTCAGAGGCCAAAGAAAGCCATACAAGCAGCGGCATGCCTGGAGCTGCCATCACACGCCAAGCCCCGCCACACACACGCTCCCTCCGGTGGCCTTGCCCTCAAGGCTCTCTGCCAGCACACAGTCCTCAGCCTTCTGGAGCCACGCCCTGCTCAGGCAAACATGCTACTGGCCCTGGCTTGTTCCTGAGACCCCAGGCTGCCCACGAGAAGGGAACCTCTCCCAGGTGCTGCACGGCTCTGCCCTGCCCACTCTAACCCTGGGGCTAGCAAGACGTGTCAGAGGAACCAAGGCTCAGATCATTCCCCCTTCATCTACGACCTTGCCGGCCCTCCTGGGATAAATCAAAAGACAAAATCTCCCCATCTCACAGTGAGTAACAGGCTGACCTGGGCTACTACAATGTCCCAAGATGCACAGCTCCATAACTAGGCACCAACTCCCCCAAGCGGTATCAATCAGAAATGGGGCTGGGCGCACCGCATTCTGGGATTTGTAGTCCCCAGGAGCCAGCACCAAATACCCAAGGAAGAGAGTGCACAGGCTAAGACTACTGCTGCCTCCCACCCAGCCCCCACCCACCACCCAGGCCCCAGCTCTACACTCAGCAAGGGTGAGGGAGAGGAATGGAGGGTCCCCTCCCAGCACATGGGGGAGGGCGCTGTCCTGTTGGAACTGTGCAGCGACTCTGGATCCCGGCATCCAGCTCAGAACACATCTGGGGAGAGAGCAGGGGCGGGGTGACAGGAGAGAGCATCAGCGGCAAGCTGTGGAGGATGGAGCCGAGCATGCAGACCTGGGCTGGCCGCACAGCCTCTCCCTGAGCCCTGATGTGTGGTAGGGAAGCCATACAGGTGTAGTTCCCTCCTAGCCTCCCTCCTGGGTCCCCCTGGCCCTATCCCACCTCTGCAGGGTGAGCCAGCCTCACCTCTGCCTAGTCCTGAGGCTGAGGGCAGGCTGAGGCAGCGAGAGGAAAGAAGGAAGAGTGGGCTCTGGTTCTGAATCTGGACAGCTGAGAGGCTCCCGCCCCACCCAGCTAGCCTCCCCAGAAGATCTCACAGCCCTACCGGCCCCAGCATCTTCCTTGCCACATTGAGGCCTTCTTGGGGAAGGAAGGAAGAAGGGAGTCCTAGCCAGACAGCAGTGAAAGCAAGCGATGCGGCCCGCAGGGAGTTGCAGAGAGAATGGGAGGAAGGAGAAGCAACACCAGGAGAAGCAACAGAGACGGTCAGAGCGCAGCATGGCACAGAAACCAGGGTGGGATCTGCAGCTGGACCAGGAGAGCAGGAGGCTCCACTTGGCCTGTGCTGCTTCCCAGTGGAGCTGCCGGCTCCAGCTCAGACAACCCCAGGCCAAGTCCTCCTTCCTTGACACCATCAGCAAAACAGGTGGCAGAGGACCTGGGCACAAAAGGCCCAGCCCAAACCACTAATGCCCCTTGGAGCTCCCCATCCAATAAATGCAGTCTGGCTCCCTGGGCCCTTCCACTGCCCTGATGGCCCCCACCCTGGGCTTCACCAGGGACCTATCAGCCCTGGGCTGAGCACAGCAAATCCCAAGTCCACACTGGGGTGCAGGGGGACCTGGGAGGGAAACTTGTGGAGGGAGCATGAAGTTGAAAACCAGTTCCTACAACTCAGGATACTCCTCTCTGCTCTCCCCAGTGAGCCAGATCCCCCGTCAAGACCTGGACCAAGTGAGGTTGGGCCTGGTGTTCAGAGGATGAGGCAGCGAGAGGCCTTCTCCTCTGGGGATGGGCTGCGTTTGGTGGCTTCACCCCTCACACCCTCCTGGGCTCCCCCTATGCCTGATTCTTGGTGCTGGGCCTTGGACCGTCCCTGTCGTCGGTGCTGTGCCGCCCGCCCACCTGCGGGTTTCTTCCCAGCTGCCTCCATCTCTGACAGGCTGTAGGCCATGGCCAGCTGCAGGTCCTCATCCTCAGAGAGGTCACTGTCCAAGGGGCCTGAGGCAGGGGTCTGCTGGACCTGAGTGCCCCCAGACCTGGAGGTGACTGACGGCTGCTGCTCGCGACGGCTCAGCTCCAAGCCCAGTGCCAGGTCATCTGGGACACCTGCAAGAGTCACACCACCATAAGGCCCCAACCTAGGCCAGGGGTACTACTGCCAGGCTGCCTCATGCAGTAATGACCCTGACCACTTACAGTCTCTCATTTGGAATTGGCACACATGCATTTTGGCACATAGTGTCATGATTTTGAGCACAGGGAAATATTCAGCTCTACCAGGTAGGAGCTCCTCCCCTTGGCCAAGTTACTCAACATCCCTACCCTTCCCTTTCCTCATCTAGAAAGTAGGAATGATGGCTGGGCACAGTGGCTCATGCCTGTAATCCCAACACTTTGGGAGGCCGAGGTAGAAGGATCACTTGAGCCCAGGAGTTCGAGACTAGCCTGGGCAACATAGTGAGATCCCATCTCTAAAAAATATTTAAAAATTAGCCGGGCATGGCAGCACATGTCTGTAGTCCCAGCTACAGAGGGGGCTGAAGTGGGAGGATTGCTTGAACCGAGGAGGTCAAGGCTGCAGTGAGCCATAATCATGCCACTACACACCAGGCTGGGCACCAAAGCAAGACCCTGTCTTAACAAAAAAGAAAACAGGAACAATGATAGTGCCTTGTACTCAAATTGTTCCAGTGATTAAATACGTCAACCCATGTAAAGGACTTGGTGCACAGTGCCTGGTTGGCAGGTATGAAAGGTTAGGGTTAGCTGGTGACGATCCTGCACAGCATGGTGACAGAGGGAGAGTGCTGCTCTGGGGATCCTGCATCCTGAGTTCAACTCCCGGCTCTACCCCTTACCTGGAAGGAAAGAGTCTTGGGCCTGGGCTACTTGGAAGTTAGGGTCATTTATGCTGCTTCTCAGGCTCCCCAAATTAAAACTGGGTGGATACCATCTGCTCCGCTTATACCACTAGATGCTTTAAGAAGAGAGGATATCGTATATGTGGAAGTGCTTTAAAAATAGTAAAGTGCTTTGCAAATGTAAGGCACCCCACTCACGGTGATGATGGTGGCTCCCTGAGACTCCTCTGCCCCCTTCCTGGCATTGCCATCTCTGATCCTACCAGTCTGACCTGTAGCTGCCACTCCCTCACAAGCCCTAAAGGAGTTCAGAAAGCAGCAGTTTGGGGAGGAGGCTGCTGCGTTGGGGCTGGGCTTCCTGCCAGAGGCTGGATGGGGGAGCCATTCCTCACCATTGATTGTGACTGACTTCAGCTGCCCATCCTCCTCCACTTCCACCCGCTCCTGCCCGTTCTCTGTGATTCTGTGGGAGACAGCACAGTTCAGGCCACCAGCAGTGACAGAATCCTGCAGGTGCAGGTCCAAGTTCTGGCCACCGCATACAATGTACAGGCTGGGCCTGCCCTCAAGGAGCCAACTTTCTATTTGAACACAGCTCCCCCGCAGACCTCTCTCCCCTCTATGAGCCCAGAAGGAGTTCTCACCTGCGTGTGGTGATGCGGTGTCCTTGGACAAAGGTGGTAGATGTAGAAACAGAGCGAAAAGCACCAGCCCCAGGACTGAAGGAGAAAGATGAGGAGGAGAAATCTGGCATCGGGACAAGGGAGGAGGAAGAGAGGTGGTTAGAAGACTACACTGCCTGTCGGAATCACCGAGGCTCCAGGCCTCCTCTCAGGGCTGCTGGAGTCAGGGCTCCTGATACAGAGACAGGCTTGGAAAAGCAGCAAGCTCACATCAGGGGTTCCAGGCATCAGGGCTTGCAAAAGTGGGAAGGGGCAGAACTTACCAGACTGACCAGGGAAGGAGGAAGAGAAGGTAAAGAAGGGGCCTGAGTGTCGGGAACCCCGGTTCTGAAGCTCTGAGAAGGGGCCCAGGTCATCTGCAACAAGTAAACAGGTCAGCAGTCATCTAGTGAAGACATTTCCCCCCAAAAGTGTGTGGACCCTGCTTTTAAGACTGGAAGTTGCTGAGCAACTGGGTAGGGTTTTTCTCCTCCATTTTTTAGTTGGGCTTATTTACAGTTAAATTCCTTTTTAATTTCGACTTCAAAAACACTCACTGGTTAAGTCTGTCCACAATAAAGAATAAAGGAAGGAAGCGGGGTGGGGGGAGGGAGGGATGGAGGACAGATGGCTCTTTCAGTACAGCAAATCATCATGATGTGATGACAGGCAGACACAGCTAGGAGGCCGGCTCTGCCATTTGCTGTGTGACTCTGGGCTATTAGCTGTGCCTCGGTTTTCTCATCTGCAAATGGGGATAAAACTACCCACCTCTCAGGGTTCACTAGAAAATTAGGGAATGTAAAATATATGGCACCTATCAGTCATTTAAAAACACCAGTATCTGCTTCATAGATGATAATAATATTGTCACAAGATGCTTTGTCTTGCTTTCCTGGCTGTTATTATAGAGGCCTAACAATGTATTATTGTTGTTGTCATTTTAATAAGGTGAGTCTGTGAAGTGTCACTGTTGGATCACGGGGGTTCTGGCACACGTGAGGTTCTGTCCCAGCTCTCACTGGACCCAACTCCACAAAATCTTCTGTCTGTGGCATTCCCGTCCCCTCCCAGCCTTCTACCTCAGGACCTCCCAGCTGATAGGACAGGCCTGGAGGGGGAAGTTGACTCTCAGAGGCTTCCAGAGTACACTCACCAAAGAGCTCTGCAAAAGGATCTCCACTCCCAAAGAACTCCCGGAAGACCTCCTCGGGGCTGCGGAAGGTGAAGGTGAAGCCAGGTCCACCACTGCCAGCTTCTGCCCGAGATGGGCCAGTTCCTGGAAAGACAGGATGAAGAGAAAGCTTAGGTCATGCATCTTACCCTGAGCCAGGGGACCTCACCGAAGGCACGGCCAGGAGCCTGAGAGAGCATCCATTGCAAGAATCTGCCCTGCCCTCTCCTCCCTGCCCTACCCACCACTCCACCTACCTGCCCCTGTCAGCCCTTCCCGGCCATAGCGGTCATAGATCTCTCGCTTGTGCTCTGCAAAAAGAGACCAGATCACTTCACCCTCCCTCCGGGATGGCTTCCCCTCCCAAGATAGGACCCTCAAAGGATTGTCCAAAGACTGACACTTGGCGGGGGAAGGCAGGCACAGCAGGGGACCCAGGGGACATGGGCTATAGGTTTTAGCAGCAACTCAGCCTTTCACACAGCTGGCCCCCCCCCCTTTTTTTTTTTTAAATACAGAGTCTTGCTCTGTCAGCCAGGTATCCAGCGGCACCATCTTGGCTCACTGCAACCTCCGCCTCCCAGGTTCCCCCAGTGATTCTCCTGCCTCAGCCTCTGAGTAGCTAGGATTACAGGTGTGAGTCACCACACCTGGCTATTTTTGTATTTTTAGTAGAGACAGGGTTTCACCATCTTGGTCTGCTGGTCTCATGATCCACCTGCCTCAGCCTCCCAATCTCATGCCTGGGATTACAGGCATGAGCCACCGCACCCGGCTAGCTGGCCTCTTTTCATCTGGAAAATGGGTATCATCACAGCACCTACCACATAGGATTGTTGCAAAGATAAAATGAGACCATCCAAGTAAACTGCCTAGCACAGTGCCTGACTCATAGGAAGTGTTCAATAAATGTTACCTAATGATTACTACATTATTATTCACCAGGGCTTAGCCTAAATGGTACCACCTCGGAGAGGCCTTCCACCACCACCAGAACAAAAGCAGGTACACATTATTCCCTAGTACTCCACCCACCCTGCTTCTTCCTTCTAGAATACTCTTCACAAGCTGTAACTGTGTGTGTGTGCCTGATGGGCATTGGTCTTCTCTGCCCCTCTGGACGAGGACAATGCCAGCTTGTCCTCCAGTTTCCCCAGAACCTAGCAAGTGCCGGACACTGTCAGCATTCAGTGAATACTTTTTGAATGAATCAATAAAAAGACAGACCTGGATTCATATTCCAGCTCTGTGTGGCCTTGAGCAAGTTACTTCACCTCTCTGCACCTCAGTTTCCTTGCCTGTAAAATGGGGGTGATTGAACCTGCCTCATAGGACAGCTGTGAGGACTCATGAAGATGATACCCACCAATGCCTGACACGCAGGAGGCTCAGCTCACAAGTTACCTGCCCTGCTTCCTTCCCTTTGCAGGTCTCATGCCATCCCTACCAGACTCTGGGGAGCAGATACTGAGCTGTCCCTGTGGGAGAGGGAGCTTAAATGTTAGGCTGGAAAAAGGCACAGAGTAAATTAGGGTGGCAGAGACATTGCTTTAAGAAAATGTGAGCTGGAGCATGAGGTAGGGGCGATGTGCTGGGTCTGCCCTGACCCCGCCCTTACTGTCAGACAGCACTTCATATGCCTCGGCCACCTCCTTAAATTTCTTCTCAGCAAACTCTTTATTATCTGGGTTTTTGTCTGGGTGCCACTGGAGAGCCTTTCGCCGATACCTGCAGAAAGTGAGTGCAGAGGAGAAGGTCGGGGACAAATGCAGGCACTTCCCACCAAGGAACCCAATGACCCATTTTCCCATTAGCCCACCACTGTCCTTTCACTGCTGGCTCCCGGTCCACCCCAGATGTTAGGGCTGCCTCTGCTGGGATGTTTTAATCAAATTCTACCCTCTCTTCTCCCAGTGCTGGGACCACATGTATGAGCAGATACAATGCCATGGTGAGAACACCTGGCTCTAGCCCCTCCCTGGGGCTCGCCGGACTGGGGCTGCAAAGGATGGGGCACATGTGGCCTCGAAGAGCACAGGGAAACCAGTCTCTCCTCCTCACAGAGCCTGGGCATCTTGGCACTGCAGCCTGAGAATGCCCACATCTAGGGGGAAGGGGGAGGAAAGGGGGAGGGAAGGGGGAGGGGAGGGGGAGGGGAGGGGAGGGGAATGAGGGGAGGATCCACTGGAGAAGAACCCACAACACAGTGCAGCTACCAGTAGAACTAACTACTTCACTCTCTGGACGTTCTCCAGTACTCTACCAGCGGTCTCCTTCCTCCCTGCAGGCGTCACTCGGAGGAAGCCCCCCCAGTGCTTTCTAAGGACCTCAGACACCTACAGGTGTCGCTCTGAAGGAGGGTGAGAGGTTCTCTGATGCACATGGAGGCACTTACGCCTTCTTGATGTCATCAGCAGACGCACTTCGCGGCACATCTAGAATCTCGTAGTAGGATGCCATGGCAACTGGTCAGTGGTCAGGCGGACCTCCTTGGGGCTGCAGGAGAGAAAGAGTCAGGAGGAAAGAACCAAGAGCCCCTCCCTGTGGCTGCAGCAGTTCCCCCAGTTGGAAGCGGAGCCCTCTGCTTGCAGCCGGTGACTAGGCTCTCTCCGGCAGCCTTATCTGCCCCCGCAGGCCGAGGCCAAGGGCTATCTCGGTGCCCAGGCCCGGGAGCCCCATCGGGGCTCCCCAACTCCAGCAGTCTGGCCCAGGGCCCCCAGCCTGACCCGGGCCCCCAGCCGCACCTCCTCCTCCCGGAGTCCCGGCCTCCTGCGGCGCCCCGCCCCTGCCCCCCGCCGGGAACCGTCTGGCACCGCAGCCCGGCTCGCGGCTGCTGCGTAGGACGCGCCGGCCCAGCTGTGCGCGCAGGCATGCGTCAGCGGCGCGGAAACTACTAGAGACCGGGAGAAGGCCCGCTCGGCCTGTTCCCCGGAGGGGGGAGCCTGCAGGGGCTGCCGGGAGATGAGGGCGGAGCCGGCTATTTTGGGCCTGCACCAGGACGACGTCAGCCCCAGCTGGGACCTGGGAGACTGCTGCCCCGCCTCCATCCAGGCAAGACGCCCTCGGACGGAGGCTAGGGCAGCCCACAAACAAGGCCCCCGGCCCTCGGGTCCCTCTGTCACTTTCTTATAAACATGCGCGATGATCCGTGCTTACTACCCACCTCCAGGACTTAGACTCCCCCCGCCTTCTCCCACCCCCACCGTTCTAACTCCTCCCCCTTCTTCAGCTCCCAGCTCCAGCCCCAGGTCCCCCATCAGGCTGCCCTGGCTTTCCTGAGTAGGTCAACACTGCCTTTTACAGCATCTCATGGCATTTCCTTCATCGGGCTTATTAGAGCCACAAATTAGCATTTATTGGTTTGACTATTTTTGATTACCATTTACCTTCCCACTAGAATGTGGATTCCACAGGGCAGGAATTGTGTGTTTTTTCTCACTGGTCTCTTAGAGCTATCATCAGGGTTCAAAACTACCCGTGGGATGAATAAATAATAAACACATGCAAACCTTTTGTTGACAGTTTTGACACATTTGGGGTAAGTGAGGTAAAGGGGACAGTGCAATGGTCAAGTCTTCCCAAACTGATCCTGAGTAGGCCTATTCCACTTCAAAATGCTTCCTGGGTTCAGGCCTCATGGGAGGGTTAGGAAACCTTGCAGAACTGGCTCCTGCTTGATCCCATCCAGACCAATCCACAGGCATTCGCTGAGCATTTTTCTGTATTTAAGATGCTGCCAGGCCATATAAAGAAGAATGTGGCCCAAGCCCTGCTTTTGCAGAGCTTGAACTTGATAAGATACCAGCCCATCAGTGTAGCCCACTGGGAAACCCGAGACTTTGGAAACAGAGCACAACCTGGCATTACTGCGAGACTTGAGAAAATCTCCAAGCACTCTTTTTTTTTTTTCTCAGTAAATATAGGGAGTGCCTAGGGTTGTTTAAAAGTCAAATGAGACACGGTATATATTTATTATAAGTGTTCCTGCAGTCCTCGCTGGCGTCATGAGTGGCTCAAGCAGTAATGTTATGTGAGTCCAGAAAAGTGCTTTAGGCTGGGGGACCCAGGAACACTTAGCCAACGAGAAGCGCTTGAGCCGGACGTGAGAGAAGAGTGGTGTGAGTGTCCTATTTTCCTGGCTGCCCACCATCGGAACCTCCTGCCTACATTTGGGGAATTTCCATCGCACGGGCCCTAATGGGAAGCAGGTCACCATTTGCCACCAAGCCCCGACTCTTGCTCTTCCTGACTTCTCGGCTCTAAGGTTGCAGCAGAAGACATAAACTCCCCCAACTGGGAGTTTGAATCTGGAGCAAGTCACGGAGAAGCAGGACTGGTTGGGAATTCATTTCTGCGTCGGCGGAGGCGATGGGGCCAACAGCGGCCTCTAGTGTCTGGAGGAGGAAATGTCAGCCCTAGTGCCGCAGGTGAGGGATGGGGGTAGGGGAATCACTGCGGAGGGTGGAGGGGACAGGAGTCTCCTACACAGGCTGTCCTATGCCCAACCTTGATTGTGGTGCTGGCTGCCCAGCTTTCCTAGGTGCCTGTCTGATTGCTGACCCTTGTTTGCCGGCCCCAGCATTGATTCTGTATGCTATCCGAGATATCTATGATTGTTGGGGGTGGGGGACTTGAAACAGTTTGCCAGTGAGCTTCTGCTGTTTACAAGAGTCCTGACTGACACAAAAACTAAGGGTTACACTTGGCATAGGAGAAAGGAGTGGTTGGGTTAAGTCATTCCAATTTTTCCAGATCTCTGCCTTTTTCTTCTTACTCTCCCGTCCCAGCAGACATTTGTCTAGCACCTACTGTGTATGTCTTGTTATATTAAGAATAAGAATATAAAGACCAGGCGCGGTGGCTCACACCTGTAATCCCAGCAGTTTTGGAGGCCGAGGCGGGCAGATCACAAGGTCAACAGATCAAGACCATCCTGGCCAACATGGTGAAACCCCATCTCTTGAAAAAAAAAAAATAGAAAAAGAATAAGAATATAAATAAGCTGAAATTTCAGTCTCTGTGCTCAAGGAGACAATTGGGACGTAGACAAATGACAACCGAGGGAAGTTATATGGAGCACATCTAGCAGACAAAGGTTGAATTTCCTTTGTTCACAAAGAACTCTCAACTAATAAAAGACAAACTGCCATTGTTAAATGGACAAAAGGCACAGGTAGCTCACAGAAGAGGAAATACTGCTGGCTTTTAAACATATGAAAAGATGCTCAATGTCATTCACAAGAAAACTGTAAACTAAAGCTACAACAGGCCGGGCCCAGTGGCTCATGCCTGTAATCCCGGCACTTTGGGAGGCTGAGGCAGGTGGATCGTCTGAGGTCAGTAGTTAGAGACCAGCCTGGCCAAAATGGTGAAACACTGTATCTACTAAAAATACAAAAATTAGCCAGTCATGGTGGTGTATGCCTGTGATTCCAGCTTCTCAGGAGGCTGAGACAGGAAAATCACTTGAACTTGGGAGGCAGAGGTTGCAGTGAGCTAAAATCATGCCATTGTACTCCAGCCTGGATGACAAGAGTGAAACTCCATCTCAAATAATAATAATAATTTTTGAAAAAGAATAAGAATAATAAAGCTACAACAAAATACTTTGGGTTTTGTTTGATTTTCTTTGTTTTGTTTTTTGAGATGGAGTCTCACTCTGTCACCCAGGCTGGAGTGCAGTGGCACTATCTTGGCTCACTGCAACGTCCAGGGTTCAAGCAATTCTCCTGCTTCAGCCTCTCGAGTAGCTGGGACTACAGGTATGCTCCACCACGCCCGGCTAATTTTTGGATTTTTAGTAGAGACAGGGTTTCACCATGTTAGCCAAGCTGGTCTTGAACTCCTGGTTTCAGGTGATCCTCCTGCCTCGGCCTCCCAAAGTGCTGGGATTACAGGCATGAGCCACCATGCCCAGGCACCCAGCCCCAACAGAATACTTTGTTTCACTTATTAGATGATTGACAAAGACCAAAAACTTGAATACATTGGGCAACACCGAGGGCACAGGCATTCTTATGGATTGGTAGTTGGAGTGTGGGTAATTTGGTTTGGTGTGACTGTTCATTCCTGTCACCAAGGCTGGAGTGCAGTGGCATGATCTCTGCTCACTGCAACCTCTGCCTTCCGGGTTCAAGTGATTCTCCTGCCTCATCCTCCTGAGTGCCTAAGATTACAGGCACTCACCACCACACCTAGCTAATTTTTAGTAGAGATGGGGTTTTGCCATGTTGGGCAGGCTGGTCTCAAACCCCTGACCTCAGGTGATCCACCTGCCTCAGCCTCCTGGAGTGTTGGGATTACAGGCCTGAGACACCTTGCCCAGCCTGGTGTGACTTCTAAAGAGAGCAAGATTTAAAATGCATAGTATTTGACCCAGAAATCACAATTCTAAGAATGCATGGTTGTACATATGTGTAAAAAATAAATACAAGCATTACAGCATTCCTCTTAATAGCAAAAGATTGGAAACACTCTAAATACCCATTAATAGCAGACTGACAAAACAAATGTTGGTATGCTATACAATGAAACATTATATTGTGACCGAAAGGAATGAGGCATAGCTAACAGTATTCATATGGACCATCTTCCAGACTTACTGTTAAGTGAAAAAACAAGGTGTAGAACAAAGTGTATACTAAATGTGCATACAAGCATGGTAGCACAGGTAGCGCGTCCCTACTCCAAAAATCCAAAATGTGAAATGTTCAAAACTCCAAAACTTTTTGAGTACCCGACATGATGCCACAAGTGGAAAATTCCATACCTGACCTCACATACACAAACTTTGTTTCATGCACAAAATTATTTAAAACATAGGCCCATTGCAGTGGCTCACACCTGTAATCCCAGCACTTTGGGAGGCTGCGGTGGGCAGATCACCTGAGGTCAGGAGTTCGAGACCAGCCTGGCAAACATGGTGAAACCCTGTCTCTACTAAAAATATAAAAATTAGCTGGGTGTGATGGCAGGCATGTGTAATCCCAGCTACCCAGTTGGGCTGAGGCAGGAGAATCACTTGAACTTGGAAGGTGGAGGTGCAGTGAGCTGAGATCATGCCATTGTACTCTAGCCTGGGCATTATGCCTGTAATCCTAGCACTTTGGGAGGCTGAGGCAGGTGGATCACAAGGTCAGGAGTTTGAGACCAGCCTGGCCAATATGGTGAAACTCTGTCTCTATTAAACATACAAAAATTAGCTGGACATGGTGGTGGGTGCCTGTAGTCCCAGCTACTCGGGAGGCTGAGGCAGGAAAATTGCTTGAACCTGGGAGGTGGAGGTTGCAGTGAGCCGAGATCCTGCCACTGCACTCCAGCCTGGGAAACAGAGCAAGACTTCATCTCAAAAAAAAATTATTTAAAATATTGTACAACATTCCCTTCATGCAATGTGCATAAAGTGTATATAAAACATAAGTGCATTTCATATTTAGACATGGGTCCCACCCCCAAGATATTTCATTATGTATATGCAAATATCTCAAAATCTGAAAACACCTGAAATCCTAAACACTTCTGGTCCCAAGCATTTTGGATAAGGGATATTCAACCTATGTACATTTAGACATCTCTGGAAGTCTAACAAAACATGAATAGTGGTGGCTGCCAAGAGAGGAACAAGATGAAAGAGACTTACTTTTCTTGTTTCTAAACCTGATAGTTTTTGAATTCTGAAGTATATGCCCCTAATAACTGTTCAAATTCATATTAATTGTTAAAAATTGAGTTGGGGAAAGAAGACATTGACAAGAAGCCAAGTGCTGTCATACAAGGCAGCCCATGCCAAGTGCCAAATGAGGGATAGAAAGAGACAGAGGTAGGTGCTGAAAGAATCCCCAGCTCCCTGGGGCTGGATAGGTTCTGGGTAGCTATGACCTAAGTTGGAAGGAATGGTAACATTGAGACAAGCAGGGAGAGCTGGCATTCCAGAAGGAGGGAATGATGACAACACAGCTTTGAAGCCAGGCGTGTTCCTGACACATCAGAGCCCAGGGAATAAATTTATTGGGTGGAATCTGAGTTTGGGGACCTGTCTCTTCTGTCTGCTTGCAGGAGGTAATTGTACCTTGGCTTTAGAAGCATCAGGGATGAAAGTATTTCCTGCACTGAGGGAGTCCCCAGGAGCCAGGCTGGGTGGTGCTCCCAGCTGCCCCAGAGATCTGGGTTGCCATCTCTCCACACCCACACCCAGTCCAACCCAAGCCTGCCAGGGCCTGCCAGCAAAGTATTACTAGCAGAGAGGCTTCAGGGAGATGCCATATAGCTTCCCAGGGTGGGGTGGCTGGTTCAGCAGACAGGAAGGGAGACGAGCTGCCTCTCTGGGTCCCCAGCCATCTTGGCAGGTGAAGATCTCGCCTCCCTCTCTGCCTCCTCTCCTGGCCTCTCCCAGGCCCTCACCACCTCCTAGGAGATGTTGGAGGGTGTTTTCCAAAGGCACTAATAGCCCCAAAACCTGGCCCCAAAAATGCCTCTATTCCCATTCAGACCCAGAAGCTGGGACTCTCCCCTCTACATGGATGCCTTCCATCCCAGAGGTTGGGCAGGGCAGTATAAAGCATCACCCCCTCCCTGCCCTTGAGGCACTTGAGTCACTGTCTGGGCACTGGGGAACTGGCAAGCCCAGAAGAGGTGGCATCTGAAGAGGTACCTGGAACCACGGTGGGCAGGAAGTAAAGGGACCTAAGAAAAAGGGGAAGAGGGGCAGCAACATATGATTTGACGCAGGCTAACCTGGGTTTGAATCCCGACTCCTCCATTTACCACCTTAGGTGAGTCTTTAAGTCTCAGTTTCCACATCTATAAAATAGGTGTTCATTGAACAAGTTCATCCAACAAATAATAATCATCTAATATGCCAGGCAACATTGGGGTATTGAGAGTAGAGCAATGAAAAACAGTCTGAGGCCTGTCTGAGAGCTTCTGTTCCTATGGGTATAATAACGGTGCTAACCTCAGGATTAAATAAGATCTTATGGATGTAGGACCTAGCACATAGTAGATATTCACTAAATGATGACTGTTTTTGTGGGGTGTAAAGGGCTCCCAGAGTGACACCTCTTCCCTTCCCAAGTTTTAAACCAGTTGACAGAAAGACACATAAGTCAAATATATGGAGATTTAAAAGTCATGCCATGCCAGTTATGATGGCTCGTGCTTGTAATCCCAACACTTTGGGAGGCCAAGGTGGGAGAATTTGCTTGAGCCCAGGAGTTCGAGTCCAGCCAGGGCTACGTAGTGAGATCCGATTCTTAGAAAAAATATTATTTTATTTTATTTTACTTATTTTTTTCAAGAGGGAGTCTCGCTCTGTCACCCAGGCTGGAGTGCAGTGGCACTATCTCAGCTCACTGCCCCCTCTGCCTGTTGGGCTCAAGCAATTCGCCTGCCTCACTCAGCCTCCTGAGTAGCTGGGATTACAGGCAGGCACCACCACACCTGGCTAGTTTTTGTATTTTTAGTAGAGATGAGGTTTCCCCATGTTGGCCAGGCTGGTCTCAAACTCCTGACCTCAGGTGATCAGCCCACCTCTGCCTCCCAAAGTGCTGGGATTACAGGTATGAGCCACTGTGCCCAGCCCCTACCAAAATAAAAATTAAAAATTAACTGGGTATGGTGGCACATATCTGTGGTCCCACCTATTTGGGAGGCTGAGGCGGGAGGATTGCTTGAGCCCAGGAGGTCAAAGCTGCGGGGAGCTATGATCACACCTTTGCACTCCAACCTGAGTGACACAGCTGTCTCAAAAAATAAAAAATGTAAAAAGTTGGCCTTTTTGGTGAAAAAAAAAAGTGAATTGGAAGATATAGCTGAGCTATTCCACCAAAATGGACTTCTAAATACACCCCTTGGGCTGGGCAAAGTGGCTGATGCCTGTAATCCCAGCACTTTGGGAGACTAAGACATGTGGATCACTTTAGCCAGGTGTGGTGGTGGGCTCCTGTAATCCCAGCTACTTGGGAGGCTGAGGCAGGAGAATCACTGGAACCCCTGAGGTGGAGGTGGCAGTGAGCTGAGATAGCTCACTGCACTCCAGCCTGGAGACTCCAGCTCAACATATATATATATATATATACACCCTCTGAATTAAATTACCCTCCCTGCCACCACACACACCCACATACGACGGGCCTCTCTCTTCGTAGGACAGAGGCCCTCTGTAAGCTTAAGTCCTCGAGGAGGAGTTGAGAATGCTTGCTCTCTCTAGGAAAATAATTCCCAGAAAGAGGGAGGATACTGCTCAGCTGAGCATGTCCATCTTCTCCAACAGCCATCCTGTTGCTTCCACTCCATCCTCAACTTACTGCAAAATAATTATTAGAATGAGAGTGACAGGGACAGGTGATAAAAACCAGACAAGGAGGAGAATTTCCTCCATTTCTGTTTTCACTCCCTACAGGCCCTGAGTGGCATCTTAGGGTTGGACTTAGAGGGGTGGTGTGTGGTGATTTCCCCTTTTTCTCTGGGATCCTTTTCCCCACATTCCCTGCCCTGCTCTGTGTTCTGAAGAGCTACACACCCTTTGCCCTGGCCCCGTTGCCATCTGCTGTCTAGGTTCAACCAGTGGGAACTACTGGCTGGAGATTGAGGCTGAGAGGGAGAGAGAAGCCAGGGTATTTCTCACCCTCTCTAAATCAGGTGTGATTGTGTCTCCCCTCGGCTCTGAATCCTGCCAAATATTCTTCCATCTTTGGTCCTTCCTGCTCCTTCTGGGTATCCGTGCTGTGGTTCCAGCTCCCACCCAGTAGTCCCAGGCCCAAGGCCCTGTGATCACATCACATCCTCCAGCCCTAGGGACAACAGCAGTGTCCTGGTGTTGCTAACTTTTGGGTTACTGTCCCAGCATCCAATCTTGGGAAGTGACACCAAGTTTGGAGAAAGGAAACTGCAGGAAGAACAGAGCTGAGGATGACGCTGTAAAATGAGTCTCTCCTGGAGTGGGGTGGGGATTGTCCTGGTTGCAACACCTCCAGTGGTTAAGCCATCCACCAGCCCAGCAGGGGCTCCAGAAACCTGTGGGAAAGGATTTAAAGTTTGCCATCTGTTTGGGAGTGGGGACATGAAGCTGCACACGCATAATGCCACAGGATTGTAAAAGGTCAACCGTCTTTATTAAAAAGTGGCAAGTTTCCGGGCCAGGGACGGTGGCTTATGCCTGTAACCTCAGCACTTTGGGAGGCCAAGGCTGGTGGGTCACTTGAGGTCAGAAGTTGGAGACCAGCCTGACCAACATGGTGAAACCCTGTCTCTACTAAAAACATAACATTAGCTGGGTGTGGTGGCGCATGCCTGTAATCTCAGCTACTTGGGAGGTTGAGGCAGGCAAATCGCTTGAATCTAGGAGGCGCGGGTTGCAGTGAGCCAAGACAATGCCATTGCACTCCAGCCTAGACAACATAAGCAAAACTCCATCTAAAAAAAGTGGTGAGTGTTGACAGAGATTACTGGGAGGTAAGCCTCCTACCCCCACAAGCTATTACCCCTCTGTGGCCACCACTGTGCTACTCTTCTGCCTCAACCAACACCAGCGTCAGGACTCTCTATTAACCCAACCTGATGCCTGGAGAAGACAAGCCTCTAGATGGTAGGATGGGCTAGCAGGCACTAGATTACTCTAAGGATCGCTTCGGGTCCTCCTGGACTCACCAGGCTCTTGTTGTGGCTCCATGTGCGTTCCCACCGACTTCACATATGTGCAACTTAACAGCACCTCCTCCTCTCCCAGGGCTGATGACTCTACAGCCCAAGTGTGTGCAATCCAGACGTGCAGAGGAGTTGATGCTTGATGGGGTGCAGGTCTAACCAATGGAAGAATAGAGCCTGTGCGTAAGCCCCACCCCCACCCCCTCGCCTGCCCACTCACCCAAGAATGGTTCTGAGATGCCATTTATTCAGCTGCATTTTCTCTAGGGTGAATTGTTCCTCCTTATGTGCTTTACTTCCCTTGGCCCCCATTCTGTTCGCTGTAATTGCACTCTGTAATGAAATCTAAAATCAGATCTGCTTTCTGGGGAATCAAGGCTAAGACACCAGCATTCCTGTCTCTCATGGAGAAGAAGCCCTCCCCCCATGGTTTTTCCCAAGAGAAAAAGACATTCGTAAGACAATAAGGCCACAGCATTTTATGTAGGACAGAAGTGCAGTATTACCCTAGTATTCAGCTCCCTTTCCCTTCTTCCCCCAGCTTCATGCTATCCGTGCCCACCTACTCATAATCCTTCTCCAGGGCAGCCATATCCTCACGGGCCTCAGAGAACTCGCCCTCCTCCATGCCCTCACCCACATACCAGTGCACAAACGCCCTCTTGGCATACATCAGGTCGAACTTGTGGTCCAAGCGGGCCCAGGCCTCGGCGATGGCGGTCGTGTTGCTCAGCATGCACACAGCACGCTGCACCTTGGCCAGGTCACCCCCAGGCACCACAGTGGGAGGCTGGTAGTTGATACCGACCTTGAAGCCTGTGGGGCACCAGTCCACAAACTGAATGCTGCGCTTGGTCTTGATGGCGGCAATGGCAGCGTTGACATCCTTGGGCACCACGTCTCCACGGTACAGCAGGCAGCAGGCCATGTACTTGCCGTGCCGGGGATCACACTTGACCATCTGGTTGGCCGGCTCAAAGCAGGCATTGGTGATCTCGGCCACCGACAGCTGCTCATGGTATGCCTTTTCTGCAGAGATGACTGGTGCATAGGTGGCCAGGGGGAAGTGGATGCGAGGGTAGGGCACCAGGTTGGTTTGGAACTCCGTCAGGTCCACATTGAGGGCCCCGTCAAAGCGCAGGGAAGCTGTGATGGAGGAGACAATTTGGCTGATGAGGCGATTGAGGTTGGTGTAGGTTGGGCGCTCGATGTCTAGGTTGCGGCGGCAGATGTCATAGATAGCTTCGTTGTCCACCATGAAGGCACAGTCTGAGTGTTCCAGGGTGGTGTGGGTGGTCAGGATAGAGTTATAGGGCTCGACCACGGCTGTAGACACCTGGGGTGCTGGGTAGATGGAGAATTCCAGCTTGGATTTCTTGCCATAGTCAACAGAGAGCCGCTCCATCAGGAGTGAGGTGAAGCCAGAGCCAGTGCCCCCGCCAAAGCTGTGGAACACCAGGAAGCCCTGAAGGGGAGGAGAAATGTGGGGCATGGAGCACAGCTGTTGGACAGAAAAGAAACAACTTGTGCTGTTTTAAATATCCAAAAGTTTCATGAAATCCTTGGAAGTCTTTTCCAAGAGCATAAAAGAGATCCTCACAGGGAGGATCCTCCCTGTAAGGATGCTTTTCTTCTCCCTGTCCCTCTTCCTCTGAAATCTCCTGAGGTCCTTAACACACAGCTCTCTCGTATGCTGAGAAAGAGGGGTGTGATGGTGGGTGGTGTTGGCTGTCTAGGCTGACCAGTGCACAGGACTCCAGGGCTTCTTCATCTTTTCATCATCATAACTTGCCAAGAACCCCCCCCCACCATCATACACATGCCCCTCTGATTTAACTTTGGATATTTCTGGAGGGCTTCTCTACTAAGATCAACAATCCAGGAACCTCATCCCCATCCTTCTTAGGAGCCAAAGCCAATCACAGAGCCTTCGCTGACGTTCTTTGAATCCCTGATTTGCACAGGGACTTCTGCCCGCATTCTTGTAACACAAGGTGATATTCTGGGAATGCTTATGGACCCCCACAACTTGGCCAGGCAGCCCATCAACATGTTAGCCTTAATGGATACTCTGCCTAGCACCAGGCCAGCCACTTCAGAGATACAGGAGACACCAGCTCCAGGCTGGAACCTGCAGTTGTCCCCCCAATCAGAGTGCAGGCCACTCCTCAATGGTTCTGATCCTTTGTGTTTCTCCCAGAGGCTGAAGCTATCCTTCCCAATCTGGTCTCCAGACTACCTCACAACAGGAATCCAGAGTCATCCCTCCTGCCCCAGCCCTCAGCCCTTTCCTCACTGGCTTCTGAATCCAGTGCAGTACCAGGTTGATGAGCTCCTTCACAATGGTGTAGTGACCCTGGGTATTGTTATTGTCAGCATCTTCCTTGCCTGTGATGAGCTGCTCTGGATGGAAGAGCCAGCAGTATGTGCCTGTTTGAACTTCATCTGAAATGGACAGAGTTTGGGGCCCTACCTCCCTTTGGGATCCAGCTGCTGGAGCCCCAGGGTACACCAAGGGAGTGGGGTCACCAGGTCCCAGGTTCTGCATTCAGGCTGCTGCTATTACCTGCTTGGATGTGTGTGTGCTGCTTGGATGTGTTTTTTAATAAGGAAAGTATTAGAAATAGATGTTGGAAATAGATGCTCAGTGCCACAGAGAAAAATCAGCACTGAGACAAAGGATCTTTCAGCAACACAATTTTTACTTCCTGGACTGTAGGAAGGGTACTCTGACTAGCCATCTTGCCATGAGAGTACAAAGAACAAAGAAAAACACACAAATTTATCTTTTACGCATTTGGGGTCGTCCTTACTGCTGTGTCTGATCTCTGTTGACTGGAGCCAGACCTCACAATTTAAATTAAAACCTGATTGGCAAAACTTTTCTAAACATGTAAAAGCAATGGTGAGCTGGGACCTGCCTGTGAGCATGTCCAGCACAGATATCTTGGTTAAAGTACAAGGACATAGAATGTACTACATGTCCATAAGCATGGCATGTCTAACAGCTACATGGGATAGGGCTTAACAAAGTTATTAGCATACTTATGATTTAACAAGAAAGGAAACTTTAAAAATGAACTTTTCTACTTCCCACAGAAAGGGATCTGGAGTGGCCTACAGACTCCGGAGCTGAGTAACATGATGATTCTGTACATCTGGAGTTCTAACTGGCTGCAGCAACTGGGAAGCTATACCACAAACTCCAGTGCTCTGCAGTTATGGAGTAAGACTTGCTGTGGTACCCAGGGACAAGGTCATGACTGGGACTGATCATCACTCAATGATCATGGTGGGGTCCAGATCTACAAACACCGCCTGGGGCACCTGTTTCCCAGCCCCAGTTTCACTAAAAAAGGTGTAGAAGGCGTCGTCCCCTCCCCTGATGACCTTGTCACTGGGCATCTGCCCATCAGGCTGAATCCCATGTTCCAGGCAGTAGAGCTCCCAGCAGGCGTTGCCAATCTGCACACCAGCCTGCCCACGTGGACTAAGATGCACTCACACTGAGTGGGCAAAGGGCAGAGAACGGCCTTGGCAGAGGGAAACATATCATGCCTGAACATGGCTCCTGCCTGCCTTCCTTGAGTGGCTCTCTGGCTGAGGGCCAAGGCTGCTGGACTCTGCTCTGCTTGCCTCACCTCCTGTGTCTAAGCATTTACTGGTGGCATTGAGGAGCAACAGGCATTGGCTCTAGAGTCCAGGCCAAATCCTTGGGGGAAGCAGAAGATGTGGGAAGTTCTGAGACTATAGAGTCTTGCTCAGTGCCTGTCTCGATGAGGAACATTTAAGGGATCGAATGAATCCAGAAGAGCAAGATAATCAACCCACCTGTGTCCATTGGTGAGGGAAGCAAGGGAAAATAGTCCAAAGATAAAGTACAGGAGACCATTAACTTCAAATCTGGAATAATGGTGCTCTCTGGCAGGGGAGGCAGGTAGATGCAATTGGAGACAGATTGTATTTAGTAAGCTTGATAGCTGCTGTTCATCACATTATTCTTTTCTTTTTTTTTTTCTTGAGACAGAATCTCGCTTTGTTGCCCAGGATGGAGTACAGCAATGTGATCACAGCTCACTGTAGCAGCCTCGGACTCCTGCGCTCAAGGGATCCTCCTGTCTCAGCCTCCTGAGTAGCTGGGACTACAAGCATGCATCACAATGCCTGTCTAAGTTTTTAATTTTTTTGTAGAGACAGGTATCGCCCTCTTTCCCAGGCAGGTCTTAAATTCCTGGGGTCAAGCAGTCTACCTGCCTTGGCCTCCCAAAAATGCTGGGATTACAGGCATGAGCCACCGTGCCCAGCCTATCACATTATTCTTTATACCTTTTTGCATTCCTGGAATATTTCTTAATTGTTTAATTAGGGTGCCTTCTCCATAAATGTAACACTTCACTGACTATTTTTTAATAACACAAGGGCCTGAATTTTCATGATTTTTAGATGGCTGGGATTCATCCATAAATGATCTTTATTCCAGCCCCATTACTTCTCTACTTGTCTTGAGTAAAAGTCCTTAACCTCTTTGTCAATGTTCTCCTTTTGAAATGTGGACAATAATAAGAGCCGCCTCCTAGAAAAACTATTAGGGTTAAATGAAAGAATGCATGCAGTGCCTGGCCCCCTGCCTAACACACTCTAGGGTTTCCCTTCCAATTTCCCACCCCCAATCCCTGATGAGTTGAGGCCAGGCGCAGTGGTTCACGCCTGTAATCCCAGCAATTTGGGAGGCCAAGGTGTGTGGATCACTGGAGGTCAGGACTTCGAGACCCACTTGGCCAACATGGTGAAACCTCCTCTCCACTAAAAATACAAAAATGGTATATACTTGTAATCCCAGCTACTCATGAGGCTGAGACAGGAGAATTGCTTGAAACCAGAGGGCGGAGGCAGCAGTGAGCCAAGATTGCACCACTGCACTCCAGCCCGGGCAACAGAGTGAGACTCCATCTAAAAAAAAAAACAAAAAACAGAAAGAAAGTAATGAGTTGAGCTGAGACCTCAAGGACTGGAGAAATCCCAGGTGGGTCCAGTCCCAAGCCTGCCTTGGCTCACCAATCACCTGCCTGGTGCTACACCTCTGAGCCTGCCCAGCCAGCTCCGTCCACAGATCCAGACATCATCCTGGCCCCCAGAACTACTACCCCATGGAAGGTGTCTCTAGCCTCTCCGGAAATGAGGCCTCACACTGTGGGGTAGCAGGTTTGGGGCAAAGAACTCAGTTTCTGGAGTCACACAAACCTGGCCTCAAACCCCCATCTCTCTGTGACCCAGTACAAGTCATTTCACCTCAGCTTCCCCCAGCACCTTTTTCATGACTAGAAAGAGAAGAATCTCATACCCAGCAGGCTGTGTTGTTACACTTGTTAAGCACTAATTAGGTGCCAGGTGAAGGTGGCACTTTACACACATTATCTCATTTAATCTTTACCACATACACCTTAGGTAGGTAGTTTTATTGCCCCCAATTTATGGATGAGGAAACTGACCCTCAGAGGAGTCAAGTAGCTTGCTCAAGGTCATGAGCAAAACCAAGAATGTTTAGAGCAGGGACAGCCTGGCACCAACCATGCTCTTAACTGTTCTTCAATCCTGCCTAGTAGGGAGGTGGGTAAAAGATATCATATGAGCCCCAGGCACAGCCAGCTCTTGACAGATGGAAGCACCCCCCTTTCCCTCCTTCCTCTCCCCACTGATCTGTAACTAACATGAGAGGTCAGACAAAGGCACAGCAGATGGGCAGGGCAGAGGGAGGAACCAGAGGGGAGAAGCTTCTATGGAGGATGTCTCCCCGTGGTGGGAAGGTGGGACCAGAGCCCAACAGTGAACCTGTGGCAAGACCAAGGGTCTGGAGATTCTCAGCCAGCAGAGGAAAGCGCCTACACTTTCTGCTCAAGTCCTGCTTCCCTGACACTCCCCACCCCTAAGTTCAGACCCCCTCAGCAGCCCTGCTCCTGCACCTGGGCTCAGCCCCACATTCTGGTTACCATCGACCTTTCCTTCCCTATCCCCTGTGATGCCCCCCACATCTGCACATTTGGGGGCCACAGCCACATCTGGAAGTCTCTTTCCCTCTCCCCACCTCACCACATACTGTAGCCCCATCAATATCTGGACTCTCAAGATAGCTTCATGCCAGATAGCTTGGGCCCACTGGGACCTTCACTTGCATGCTCAGCCCCCTCCCCTCCACCAGGCCTGGACAGGGGCTGGCTGGGGTCCTGTTTGTCTGTCTACTGCAGGATAGTGAGCAAGGATGGATCTGTGCGAAATCTGCAGCGGCCAGCCGGCCTCATACTCTCTGGGTGGCTGTCAGCAGGTGAATGTTGTTAGAAACAGCCAGGGAGGGCAGGACTGTTGACTTGGCCAAGAAGCACCAGGCAAGCGCTGGGCCTGAGCCCAAACAGGGGAGCAGCTGGGGTGGGCAGAGGAGGGTCCAGGGCTAGTGACTCCACACAGGTATCCAGGGCCCTGGGTACATGGTATCTGTTGTC